CGAACTGAAATCTTGATTGTAGCTTGCTGGAAACTGAAAGACTGAGCTGGTGAATGGAGGGAATGTCGCTACTTTCTTCAATTAGACTATGGACGGTTCCTGATTCTGCCTCCGTGATTGAAATCGATGGGGATTGTTCAGATGAAATCAGATATACAAACGACACGGTTGACCGGAGTCGTCCTTATTCTTTTTGATAGTTTCGGCATTTTCGATTTTCTCTCTGATTAGAAGGGAAAATGAACAGACAGTAATTTTGCGCTCTTGGTTGTGCTATGCATGATGTTTCTGGTCCAAGCACATCACCTTACTGTGCTCCTTGGAAAGATGCCTTCTTTTTCCCTTTCGGAAACGTATCAATGTAACTGTTCGTGTCTTGCTTAATTCAATGGGAGAAGACAGACAATTCTATTCCTTACATCTACCTTTACCCAAGTTGAATTAAACAATAGTTCATAGGCTGGCATGTATATTTAGATCTTTGCAGGTTGGTATCTATGTGTCTTACCAATTTGCTTTGTCTCTTTTCCTACAGGTTGCATGAATTTCTCCTTGTAACTGGTAGTAGGGGAAATGACGCAGCTTTGGTTGTGAGCCTAGCATTATCACTTCTTTTTGGACGCTGTTTTGGAGCATGATTAATAGATCTGAGGTACAAGTCTAGTAATTTCCTTTGCTGATGGAGTCATTGTGGAAGCTACTGTATCTGTTCGAACCAGCCCCAGTTACGCTTATTTTGACAGCAATAGCTGTAACATTTGGATCGGCTTTTCGAGCCTTAAATTATGGGAAAGAAATGGAGCGCAATCGCGATTTGTCGGACGCATCTATTACTTTGGACAGGTCCCAGGCACTGATGATTCCAATCATGAGCTCTTGCAGCTTGCTTTTGATGTTCTACCTGTTTTCTTCTGTTTCCCAGCTGCTCACTGCCTTTACTGCTGTAGCGTCCGTCTCATCCCTTTTCTTCTGTCTTTCTCCCTATGTGACCTATGTGAAGTCCCAATATGGTTTGGCTGACCCGTTTGTGTCACGGTGCTGTTCAAAGTCGTTTACAAGAACACAGGGGCTTTTGTTATTGGTATGCACTGGTACTGTTGCTGCTTGGCTTGTTTCGGGGCACTGGGTTTTGAACAATTTGCTGGGCATTTCTATTTGTTTTGCATTCGTGAGCCATGTGCGCCTACCAAATATCAAGATATGTGCGATGCTTCTTGTTTGTCTATTTGTGTACGACATTTTCTGGGTCTTTTACTCGGAAAGATTCTTTGGAGCAAATGTCATGGTATCAGTGGCCACACAACAAGCTTCAAATCCTGTTCATACTGTCGCTCACAGTTTAAGCCTTCCCGGGCTGCAATTGATTACAAAGAAATTGGAGTTGCCTGTGAAGATTATGTTCCCCAGGAACTTGCTGGGTGGAGTAGTACCTGGAAGAAGTTCTGCAGACTATATGATGCTGGGTCTCGGTGACATGGTACGGCATTTTCCAATCTCATTTATTTTTTGCGATTACTCCATGTCATTCAGATCTGAGGTTTTAGATATTCCCAAATTTCAGTGGCTTGCTGTTTGCCTGTTTCTGATTGTCTTGTTAGAGTTTTTAATGGATTGAAAGTGCTTTTTGGTACTATTTCTTGCCAACATGGATGGATCTCAATAGTATCATCTGATGCAATTTGTTTATCCATCAGATAAATAAAAGGTGTGAGGACCAGATTCACAGTTTTGATATTAGCATTTTTCTTCAGATATTCACCATGACAGAGTTCTCCATCATGAGGGATTGAGACTTCTGGTTTGTCATTTGATTTTTCTTAACATATTTTTGCAGTTTCTTGGGATTGATTTGCTGCACCGCCAGTGTTTTTTCTCAGGCATTTTGGTTTAGCATCTCTATGTTGTCCTGACCCTTCATTCATTTCTGGCTTTTTATCTTTTGGCAAAATTCATATCAAGTTTGTGTTTGGCTCCATTACTTTGTACTTGTACTGCGAGCATGTTCTCGCAGAGCCATGTCACTTCCTCAGCCTGTGTTTATTTTTTGGCTAACACTTCTTCAGCCTGTTAGGTGCTTCTGTAGTGCAGCCTTTCTAATGTCATTTTTATTTTTTTCCCTGTTCTACAGAACCTTATCGAGTAAGAAATTGTTTGATGTTAGTGTATCCAAAATTTTAGTCCGAGGTCTACCTCTGAGAATTTGTTTTAATGATTGCTTTGCAGGCTATTCCTGCTATGCTTTTGGCACTAGTTCTCTGTTTTGATTATCGGAAAAGCAGGGATATAGTCAATTTATTGGAACTTCACTCTTCTAAGGCAAACAAGTACATATGGTATGCCCTTCCTGGATATGCCATTGGACTCATAGCTGCCTTGGCAGCTGGAGTTTTGACCCATTCGCCTCAACCTGCCCTCCTCTATTTGGTACGCCTTTTGATCTTATCTCCTGAAAAAAATTGCTGTGAATATGTGTGGACAATGTCACTTTTTGTCCTATTGTTTCTATGCATCTTGTTCTTATAGTTGGCCTGAGGGGTAATACTTACTTTGGCATTATAACTGCTAAATTATTTTGATTTGAATGAGGTAGGCATACCAGATGTCTTGTATACTGAGATAATTCTGGCAAAATGTGAATCCGAGTGCTACCAAACTCATTGATACTTTGTTAAATTCAGGTTCCTTCCACACTTGGGCCGGTCGTTCTCATTTCTTGGTTGAGGAAAGATTTAGCAGAATTGTGGGAAGGTACTACACCGAGCATGAGTGATAAAGGGCGCTCAGAAGAGGTTTGAGTCGCCGAAGTTGTAAAGTTATTTGAAAGGTTGACTGCTATGCTTATCAGTTATCGTTAGTTAAAACACCAATCTGAGCTAATGACTTCTTTGCGATGAAGCTTTACTTATCAATCTTCATAGAAAATGAGAAAAGATAGCATCCATTAGTTAACTGTGGATTTGCAAAATTGCACAATTGACAAATGATATTCAGAAGACAGCTAAATTGGGGAATATTCTGACAGACGGATAGTTCATCTTTCTATGATGTCCACGAAAATCGGTACTTTCATTTTATGACCATATAATGTTGATTGAACCATAATAACCACTATCCTCACCACCGATAATTTCTTGGAGAAGAGATTGCAAAACTGCATGAAACAGTATGTTGCATGATTCTATGACCAAATTATTTCATGCAACGCATTTTCTAATACCTCACATCTGATCTTTTTTTGCATGTGACCCAATGTTCATGTATAAGCATTTGGGGAAACTGGTAGCAGCCCAGTGCACCTTCATAAAGCTGTAATTTCCTTTTATCTATTCAGCATTTGGATTGCACTAGTTTTTTAAGTAAGGCAGTAATAATAAACTCCACATATTGCATATCTCTTTAGGGAAAATACTAGTAGTCTTAATGATAAGGGCTATGTATCGGCAGTGTGCTGGTGACATTGCGAAGAACCCTTTATGCATTGCTGTAATAACTTACGACAACTTGTGACGTGATTTCTGAGAAGAATTTTATTGCTACAATATTAGAAGATTAAACAAATTAATCCTGAAGAATGAAATTGAAGTCGTGTAGGATGATCAAGATTTAAATGTGGCTTTATTATTTTGACGATTGATTAATATTCATCTCAAATACTAAATAAATCCGATTTTGTTTGCACTTTGTGGTTTACTTTTGAAGATATTTTGGTGTTCGACAAACTAATCATCTACAGTCCTTCACTCTCCACTTTTTTCAATTGGATGTTCATTATCTTCAATGCCTTATAAACTAGAACGAGGCCAAATGAAATCTCTATGGCATTGTCAACAGTTTGAGCTTCTGCGAGGAAACGAGCTGAGCTGAATGAGTAATCTGTAGATATTGTGATCATGCTCACTCGATGATTTCGTTGACAGATGGAATCGTGGACGTTACTACTCGATGATATAAAACTAGTGCAGTCTGTTGCGCGAGTTAATGTCTTCGATCGATTTTTATTTTTCCATGCCGAACTTATGCCGATGATTGATTGCCCTTGGAACTTGGGTTCCTTCTTGTGCTGGATTATAATTTGCACCTGAAGTGATCGTTGGACTGATTAAGATCGAGCTTTTGAATCGGGTTTACCGAGTTTCTCAGGCTAATGGAGGTCTGGCTTGAGATGGGGTAAGCCTTTATAACTGAACGTCGTCATTCAAATCGGTTTGCGGGCTCATGGAACCTCAACAGGTCTCTGAGCAGTCAAATCCATGATCTAAGTATATACACGGTATTATAGCCGACGAAGGTTAACAGGTTAACTACCAATTTTTCATTTTAGGGTGCATCTGTTTCGCGAAAAGCAAATGATATGAAAAATATGTTTTTTTTAAAAATGATTTCTCGTATCGCTCACAAAAATGAACGAACGAAAAACATAAATTACTGTCGATAATGAAGATATTTTTAATTTTTTTTTAAATCATTGATTTTCTGCGAAATGAACTGATCATTTATAATATGGAAAAATCTAACAAAAACAGACAACCACTATATATAAGCTATTGGAGGTTTTTTTTTTGTCTCACTCATCTCTATTATGTACATATGTATGCGGTGCTCACAGAAATCAAACTCCAAACTTGGTACTTTCCAGCCCCACTCCTCAATTCCTTTACAAGCCGCGCTGTATGGCTGACGGCGCGCCATTAGAGGTTTGCAAGCCTTCGAAAAGGACAATTTTTTGGCCCCCCCAAACGGGCATTCGAAGTACGAAGGGCCCAAAAACCCTCAGATTCCAACGTGGAAAATGGGGAAGGAAAGGAGAGAGCCCCCGGAAAGAGGTTAGGTAGGTGTCCGTTTGAAATTCCGGCGGTCGGAATCGGAAAAGTCGCCGGTCTGCTTGCCCGGGGATAAGCAGGCAAAGTCCGTCAACTGCTTGGGAGAGAGAGAGAGAGAGAGAGTCGAGTAGAAATGCCTGCGGGAGAGGCGGAGATAAAAACACATCAGTCCCTCTCTCTCTCTCTCTCTCTCTCTTCATATACACAACAAGCTAAAACCCTTGGCCTTGGGGATTTCACCTCTGTCTATCTCTCGAACATGTCTTCAGCGATCGCGTCGTCGCCCCCGAGCTCGCCGCAGCTCCGATTGGCTCTGCGCCGCGGCGGCGGCGGTTCCGGGGAGCCGTCCCGCTCGATCCTCGTGAGGGAGGCGCGGGCGAGGGAGCTCGGCCGCCGGTTCCCCCGCCTCTGCGTCGGCCAGAGCGAGAGCCGCCCCCGGGATTTGGGTTCCTGGACCGGCTCGGACAATGGCGCGGACGCGCTGTCCGGCTGGTCCGGTTCCGATGACCCCCGGGGATCTCTGGATTCTCAGCGGAAGAGGTGGTTCGGAGGTACGGTGGGAGAAATTTGTTTGTGTTATGCTTGCTCTGAGTACGATGTCTCGTGGAAATTGAAAGTCGTCCTTAAACAACGAGAAGGAAAAAAATTGAAGTCCGTACTGCTGAGGATGATATTGCTGTTCTCGTAAGAGAATGATTTGATCGAGTAGTTGCGTCCTGGAAATATCGAACCGGCCATCAGTAGTCGGGACGATTTCGGCTCATTGCGAACTGTTTTCAGCTCTTTTTTTTTTCTATTTTTCTTTCTTTGCTGTAGTTACTGATTACAGCTTATTCTGTGCTAATAACACTTTTGGAGTAGTTTGCTTTCAGGGATTGTTGGAGCAGGAGTTGTTCTTGCTGCTGGAATCACATTTGCAGCGATATATGCAGGGAAGGGAAGCACTTTGAGTGAGTTTCAGTTTCTCTTGTGAAAATACAGTTTCAGGACTGAGTTTGAAAATAGCGTTGGGATTGCTGGAAGTTCTTTGTTAGGCCCTAAGGATATGTTCTCTTTCCCTGTCCCTCTTCGAATCTGTCTCCCACAGGGTTGCTCTGTTAGTTCATCTCGTCCGATTGCAGCTGCCAATGCAATTGGAATGCAAGTTCATGATTTACCTCCATCATGATGTATTCAATCTTGGTGTAAACAGGACCTAAACCAGAGATGGAGCCCTTAACTACACAGCAGGAAGCACTGTTGGCCCCGGATGATCAGCACGTGGAGCTTGAATCTAACAATAAAGAGGGTACTCGTGCAAGGCACGACGACGTCAATCTGAGTGATGAGTCAGGTATGAGTGGCGATTCTCTTTCCCTCCAAGAACGTAATGACTCTGTGAGCGGATATAAAATGGAAGATGATACTGATGATGGGATCCAAACTGGTACTTACTCTGGTACTGAAAATGCTAATAGTTCTTCCAAGGAAGATGATCCGCAAGATGAGTCACCCGTTAGTGACAACTCAATTGCTCCTGAAACAAGTTTAGGTGCTGGTGTACTCCTAGAAGATGATACTGTGGCTGCTTTGGCCAATATAGAGGCACGAGGTAGCCTCGATGACGCTGTACCAGAATCTGCATCTGGACAGAAAGGGGACCTGATTAATGATAATCCAACTGCGGGAATTCTCACAAACTTCACTGCTGATTACAAGGGGGATGAGTCATTGAAAACTAGTAGTTCTAGTGTTCTATATGAATCTACTAAGCTTTATCACACCCAAAGTGAGCCTATGGCGCTGACTGATTCATTTGGTTCACACGTAGACACTATTCTAGAATCAAAGGCTGTGCCCAACACTGAGCTGCAGAAGTTAGTTCCAATATCTGCTGAAGAAAATCATGATGCAGACAAAGCACCTCAGGTGTCGGTTGAGGGGATAAATTCAGCACTGAAGGAGCATGACTCGAATGAACATGGTTCATCTGCGACTGAATCTGGGGCATCTTCAGTTTATGCATTTGCAGATGGACAAGAAAAAGATGGGCAAGGGGCAACAGATGAAAGCAGAACAGATTTTGCAACATCAAATTCAGGAAACACCTTTGCCTATGCTGGTATACCTGCTCCATCCTTTGTTTCTGAAGCTCTACGAGTGAATCCTGGGAAGATTTTGGTTCCTCCCACAGTTGATCAAGTTCAAGGACAGGCTCTGGCTGCACTACAAGCATTGAAGGTACTTCCTTGCACTCTTTGTTAGCTCCACCAATTGGGTTTGGGATTGATGATGATGGCGAGTCATTGCATTGTGAGCTAATTTGTCACCTCATTGGTGTACTTTTCCATTTAAATAAGTGCGCAAGCACTGTTTTCCTCTTTTTTTGTTGGGTAGGGGGGTGTTGAAAGCAGTAGAAATCAAGGAAAGGAAGTTGTCCGTGCTCGTTTACTTAGATATGGTCAATTAGGAGGGCAACTTTCCCTGTTGGGGCAGTTAGAAAATCAATAGAGTAACTTTGTTCTGAGTTTTTTGTGTTTTAACCAGGGGCTCATCTTTTAATTTCAAATTTTCATTATAATGATAATCTGTATTACTTTTATAGCTGCATTCAAATAAATTATTTAAAGAGATCCATTCTTCCAGAGAAATTTAGTAGTGGAAAAGTTATCTCTTTTTTCATATGATTTCTATAACTTATTTTATACAAAAAGTCGTTCTACCATGGAGTCTTCTTCAGAAACCTTTTTCCTTTGACCTCTAAGATTGATGTAATAGTCTATCTTCCCTTTTTATAAGGAGTCAATATTATTGTGCCTTGCAAGCAATCTAATCTAAGTGCTCCACCACTCTATTCAGGTTATTGAAGTTGATGTCCAAGCGGGGGATATTTGTACACGTCGTGAATATGCTAGATGGTTGGTGTCAGCAAGTAGTGCTCTTTCAAGGTGTAGAGATCACATTTTCGTGATTTGTTAAATAGAAAACTTCAACTGTCGATTTTCATTGCTAAAATAGATGACTAAACTTCTGCTTAAATGCCCTCTGCCTCTTTGTAGAGATACAATTTCCAAAGTTTATCCTGCCATGTATTTAGAAAACGTCACTGAGCTAGCATTTGATGATATAACACCTGAAGACCCTGATTTTGTTTCCATTCAAGGTGAGAAATGGTCTTTCCTGGCTGCAACTTCAGCATGAAGATACTTCTATGTTCACTCCTTTCTTTGATTGCTTTGAAATATCAGGTTTGGCAGAAGCTGGGCTTATCTCAAGTAAGCTTTCAAGACGAGATATGATGTCATCTCCAAATGAAACGGAGGACCCTCTCTATTTCTTTCCTGAAAGGTGAGTAAAAACTGTGATTCCTTCCCAATCGCGTCTTTTGTCGGCTATGTGGAGGATTCTCTATGGGCAATGCAACGTAGTGAAAAATCTTCCACTACTGTTACCCTTGAGAGTACCAGCATGCTTCTTGAGATATTAGTCTCTATTTTATTAGACCATAGTGATTGTAGTAAATCCGTTCAACCTCAATACACAAACTTGATAACGCTGCTTTGGGAGATTAAGAGGAATAGATACAAGAATCATATTATGATGTTTATAATCTGTTTAATGACTTCCCAAATTTTTTTGTGATGCTTTTCTTTTCTTTTCTATGCCACACACTTTTTCACTGTCGATCTACTTTCTTGTATATTTGACAGCCCATTATCACGTCAAGATCTAGTCAGTTGGAAGATGACGCTGGAGAAGAAACAGCTCCCAGAAGCCAACAGAGAGGTTTGCTCAATGAAGTTTTTGGTTTATGCCTTGGTTTCTGGCCACTTATGTGACTTCACTAGCAACTTTTAGAAAAATTCGTTCTCTTTACATAAACAGGGCCTGGGCCGCGTTTCTGGATTTATAGACATTGACAAGATTAACCACGATGCATATCCTGCATTAGTAGCTGATTTGTCCGCTGGAGAACAGGGGATAATAGCCCTCGCATTTGGTGAGCCATATGACCTTGACTGCTTGTGTGGAACCTTCATTTCAGCTTGGTAATGTATATACTTTTTGGTTCGAGATAGGTTACACAAAATTGTTTCAGCCAGATAAGCCGGTTACGAAAGCCCAAGCAGCTATTGCTCTTGCAACTGGTGAAGCTGCAGACATAGTAAGTGAGGAGCTTGCACGCATTGAAGCAGAGGCAATGGCAGAAAATGCTGTTGCTGCTCATAGTGCCTTAGTGGCTCAAGTCGAAAAGGATATAAATGCAAGTTTCGAAAAGGTGCTCTCAGTAGAAAGAGAGAAAATTGATGCAGTGGAAAAGAAGGCTGAAGAAGCAAGGCTAGAATTGGAAAAATTACGGGCTAAGAGAGAGGAAGATAGTATTGTCATGATGAAAGAACGTGCTGCTGTGGAATCAGAGATGGTAGTTCTCTCCAGGTTAAGGAGAGAAGTGGAACAACAACTGGAGAGTCTAATGAGTAACAAGATAAAAGTCTCATATGAGAAGGAGAAGATTGAGAAACTTAGGTTGGAAGCAGAAAAAGAAAGCCAGGAAATTGCTCGCCTACAATATGAGCTGGAGGTTGAGCGAAAAGCGTTGGCAATGGCTAGGTAAGTACAGCATGATGTAACTAAGGAGTCAATCGTGGTAAATTACCTTTTTCAATTTAGATGGTTTCCCTGGTGTCGAACATCTATGTGTGGTTTCTTAAACTGTCTTTGCCAATCCATCGATTCTTCTAGACCTGCATGTATCACCTTTCCGGTTAATTTGTGTGGCATTCTGGAAAAGATTGCATTCCCGGTTCATTTATTATGCTTGAGGAGACGAGATATGTCCATGTGGTGATGAACTGCGCACTGCAGCCACTGCTGTTTCATGCTGAAAGTGATGATCACACAGTTGCCTTCTTTGAAATTGTATTCGGACTCAGTTCAGTCTCTTCATCCAAATACTACTGAACTCAAGTTTGCATCTCGTGTGTTGTTTAGCAATCATATACTTATGGAACTTCAAAATTTTGCTACTCAGGGCATGGGCTGAAGATGAGGCAAAGAGAGCAAGAGAATATGCAAAAGCTCTAGAGGAGGCTAGGGATCGCTGGGAGAGACAAGGTATCAAAGTAGTGGTTGATAGTGACCTGCAAGAGGAGACTTCTGCTGGTCTCACATGGATCAATGCTGGAAAGGAGTTGTCAGTTGATGAAACTGTAAATAGAGCTGAAACTCTGGTGGATAAGCTCAAGGACATGTCTGCGAAAGCTGGGGAAAAACCCAGAGAGTTGATCAATAAGATTGTCCAGATAATACTTGTATTCATATCAAACCTGAAGCGATGGTCCTCTACTGCCAGGGAGAGAGCTGGAGAACTTAGATGTGTTGCTGTTTCAAAGGCGAGGATATCAGCCGAAGAGTTGCAGCAAAGCATCGCAAACGTGAGCCTCGACCTCAAGGAGGGAGCAAAGAGACTTGCTGGAGACTGTAAGGAAGGGGTTGAGAAACTCACCCAAAGATTCAAGACATGAGCGCATAGCCTTTTCCTGAAAGTCTCTTCATTTTTCCCGTGAGGTAATTAACTATGGCGGCCTTGAAAAAGCAAAAGTTACCATAATGGAATTAGGGAACTGGTTGCAGATGACCTCAATAATCCAGGATCCATGTTTTTGAAGTCCCACTTCTTTAACCTGTTTTGTGGGAGTACATCTTGTGTAGAATAAATCATGTTCAATAAAAATTGACTCCGCATTATATTCATGATCTGGCTTGGCTTCTACTGTGCTTTGTGCATGTACGGTTGTCGAATGGCAGTATGTACTCGTTCAAATGTCTCGAGTCAAGATTCCGGACAGTGATGGTGTACTGCTACTATAATTAATTCGTTACTGTTGGTGTTTGGTAATGTTAAGTATAATCCCTCATCTTGCCCTATTTGAGTTCCCCATAAAAGAACGGTGAAAATGATTCCTAATAAGATTTCTGTGACCAAAAGAAAACTCTGATTACAGTGTCTGAAGAAGCAAACTGTATCTTAGATTGTTTTATTTCACGAATTGTGTTCTGTCCATGTATAGGCATCATCACGTTTTTCACTGCCCCTCCATGCGAACCCCTCTTCTGTCACAAAGGAAGAGTTTATAGCCGGTCCAAGCGTGTAAGATGGTGGAATTCCATGCCGTCACTAAAATCCACCTCAAACAACAGCCTAAGGGCATAAAAGTAATCACCAGATTTTCTGTCAAAACATGAACAATACTCCGACTGCCTAAGTTGCAACAATAGACGATCGTGGATACCAAACACCACTGCAGACTACTTCCTCTAAGAAGCCCACCACTAGACAATCGATTGAAGGCAATCCCCACATGCCCAAAATATCTATCATACGTTGCTGCCAACTCTGCTGCGCTAGGGGAACAACGTATTTGATTAATGTATAGAGAGCTCATCAAATTGAATGTGTACCGTATGACTACAATAAAAATGGCATTGATACCACAACTTGCTTTTCTCAGAGCCTGATTAGTTTAAAAAGAATCTTTCAAATTCTAGAGACATGAGAGCTAAGCACACGGAATTACCCCGGGCCAAGACCAGAGTTTCCCAATGAATGGAAATGACCAAAGGCGTCTAGCTGCTGAAATAAGCAATGAACTAATCCTTTGACACCCACTTCATCATCTATCGAGCAAACCTGTTGGTAAACGAGACATATTTGGAAAATGACATCAATAACGTTCTCATGGAAACCTTCTAATAGAAAAACTTAACCACAAGAGATCACACACCAGAATCAGAATATCAAGCATCAGGCCAAAAGGACACTGCTGTCATTTCGAACCGACTTACAACAAGAAAGAAATTTTCTGAGCTTCTGTCTTGAACTAACATAAGAACACTAAGCAAAGATAAGTAATCAGCTTCTACATGTAAAACAAAAATCTCCGCAGCAGTTGTTTCGGAAATGAATTCTCACTTCTTTTTCTCACCGCCTCCAGCAGACCTGCAAAGGCAACACCGAGGATGATCAGGAGAAAACAGAATGGATCTCCACTTGGGCAGTCGAGCTAAATAAAAGAACACAACGTTCACTGTCCAAAAGGAATTACTCAAGTCCTTAAGTGTTACCTCATCTTTCTGAGAACGTTTGACATCTCCTCACGCTTCTTCTTTGCCCTCTTGTGAGTGCCCAGCTTTCTTTTAGCTACCTTCAAAGCACGCTTGTCCTTCCCAACTTTCAAGAGCTCAGTGATCCTCTTCTCATATGGTGCAAACCCAGCAACTTCCCTGATCAAATTCCTCACAAAGTGGACTCTCTTGCTTGTTTTCTGCATATATGTCACGCATAAAGAAGATCAAACTTCAAAGGTACAGACAATTTTCTTCCTTTCTTAGTGTGACATTCATGAGCACATCTCTTTCCTCCATAGCATTTAAAGTATATGCACACTCAAAATCAACTTTTCAAAACAATGACTCTGCCACCCAACATCCACCCAAAAAGATAGGGAAGATCCATTTTAATCATGAGAATAGCTCAGGAACATCTATTCCTTGCACAGACTTACCCCTTTGCGATCAGAAGGACGTGATGCCAATTCCTTCTTGGTCACGATGTGGCCCTTGTTCAATCCGACGAAAAGGCCGGTGTTCGGCTGCTTCGGAGCCATTTTCCTGCTACAGCCAACCCAACAAATTCGACGTCAGTGCATCGCAATGCAAATCTATCCAGAGGAAGATCGGAATAACCAGGACACAGACAGGAACTCGCAACCCATAAACTACCGCATCATTCACTCGCTCATTCATTCATTCTGAGCCGAACAGCGCGGTAAACAAGAGATTACGCCCTTCTAAATGTCGGGAAACATGTACTAAAAACCATTTAGACGACTAGAATTCAAACAAAACACGCGGATAACAGTGGCGTGAGAATCACCGAAACACGGGAAAATCAAATACCAGCTTTGACACTACAGCCACAGCACGAGAATTCAAGCCAAAGACGCATGAGTACACTGGACTAGGCGATCTCGGATCCAGCATCTATCGATACAACGAATCCCAAAACGTGCACGATTCGAACAAATGCAAGCGAGCATTTCAGCTTCATCCTGTCGGAGCTACGCGTACCTTTCGGGACGCGACGGCGACGGTCAGAGGCGGGCGAGGGAAGAACTAGGGTTTTTGCTCGTGGGTTCTGCGCCTATTTATACCCAGAAGCTTGTGCGGCGGAAATAGACGAATCGAGGGGTAATTCGGTAAAACACGTGGAGTCCATTGCAACGACACCGTTCTGCAGTTTCCAACTCTCGGGCCCTCGGCCCATTCTTAGGTCAGCATGATTAAGTCAAAATCCACTTTAACCTTTGGAGTGAAATCAGAGCCACTTTGGTCTCAGTTTACTTTTAGCGTGGGCGGCCCTTGCTTATCAAATTTCACCCGCCCTTTCTAAACCGATCTACACGTGAGAGGGCGTTTGCGAAGTGCACATGCTCTTTATATTAACCTGTGTATTGTTAGGGGTGCATTTGGTTTAGCATTTGCAAGAGTCAAAATCTCTTGGGCAAATGCAAATAGCATTTAGTAAATTTTTTGGAGAACTTTGGACAAATACAATCATATTTCTAAAGACATCTAAAGGCCTTTAGCCAAGGCAAACCCGGCGGTCATTTGGAAAGTAAAATACTAGGAATGCAATTTGGCATTATCCCGTGTTAAAATTGCAATTTACTAATTGCAGTTTGGCATTGTCCTACTATTCATCAGCACTATTCATCTTCCCCCACGATTGGAATAGGAGGAGCAGGATGTAAGCCGCCTAGGGGGTCGCGTGACCGGCGACCGCCATCTAGGGGTCGCACGATCCAAGGTGACGGCTGCTTGGGGTCGCGTACCCAAATGTGATTTTGCCAAAACATCAATTAAGGGCCCGTTTGATTCAGCATTTGGATCAGCATTTACCAAATGCTGAACTCAAATTTTTTATCCCCAAACTACCCTTAGTTATTTTGGCTTATTCCGGTTTTGCCCCTCGTGTGTACTGTTCATCTTCTTCTTTGTGAGGTGACCGGCGAGGCGGCCGGCGCCGGATCGGGCAGGCAAGAGGCTAGCGGCCCTCGCCCGAGGCCGGGCGACCCTCGGCGAGGGTCACGAGACCCAGGCGACTCCCGCTCGGGTTGCGCGACCCAGCAACCGCCCTGGGTCGCGCGACTCTAGGCAATCGCCGGGTCGCGCGACTCAAGCGGGCCGTCGCCCGGGTCACGCAACCTCGTGTGACCGCCGCCTCGGGTCGCAACGGCCGCTTGAGGTCGTGCGACCCAGGCGGCCACTTGGGTCCCGCGACCCTCGCCGAGGGTCACCCGACCTCGAGCGACGGTCGCCAGCCCCAGATCTGGCCCGCTGGCGGTCGCCCGACCTCAGGCGACGGCCACAGGCGCCAGATCGCTCGCCCGGCGACAGCCGGCGCGCTCCGGCGAAAGGGTAAGTTAGGTTTTTATTCCCAAAGTCCATTTGCAAAAATAATTCACCAAATACTATATTTTGGTCAAAGTAACTTTATAAAATATTTTTACCAAACATCATTTGCATTTCCCCAATGGGCTTTCACCCAAAGGTATTTGCATTCCCCCAAGTAGCATTTTCAAAGTTGAACCAAACGGGCCCTAAGTCAAAATTGTTTCCTAATGCGTTTTAAAATTGCAATTTACTAAACATTATTTGCATTTTAAAAAACTCCTATTTTGCATTTTCCCAAACATATTTTCCCAAATTCGAACCAAATGCACTTTTAGATGAATTACCGGAGCAGTGGGACTTGCATGTGCGCTTCGACGAGAAGAAAAGGGCGACACTAGTACGGCCTACCGGCAACTGCCGTGTCATTACCCAAGAACACAACTGTCGCCAATCAAACATCAACACTGTCCACCGCCATGTCTTTCTCGTCTTCCTTCATCTTTCTTCTCTTCATCCATCGTCAACGCGGACCCTGGGGGTTTGACTTGCAGGTAGAGGCCATTTCGTTCACTTTTCTTCTCACCTTCGTGACTTCGTCATCTTCCTCAGTTGATTACTCCCGATTCGATTCATAACTCCACCGCCCATCAGGCCATTACCACCTACATCCCATTTTCGATCCAGGCACACACCATGTCCCCTTCATCTGCGCACCGCAGCAACACGACAATGGGGTCGAGAGCCCACGTTTCTTTCGCGTTTCGAGCTTCGGTTCTTGCCCGCGAAGTCCTTCCTGGTCCTCTGGATCACCCAGCGCTCGCTCTCGCGCCCGTTCAGTGAAAGTTTTCTCTTAACTGGCGATCTCTGGTTTTAGTTCTGTCGTCCGATTTTGGGATTAGGAGCTGCGATCGTGGACGCCGCGCGGAACGGGATCGGATCCGTGCTTTGACGGGTGGCTGAGTCGTACTCGTAGTCTGCTTCGGGGCTTTGCTCTGATGAGCGGTGGTTTTGGCCTCCTAGAGATTCCTAGGACAGTCTATCTGGAGATGTTTGCTCGATTCCGATAGCGGTTTTGCTAGCGAATTTAGTTGAATTGGGGAGGGAAGCTACTTGTGAATTCTCTATCGAAAGTTTCCCTCCCGCCACTTAACGTTGCCATTCATTGTGCATCCTCTGACGACTTGTCTGCTGTGTACACATTGAATCTTGTGTGCCCTGTCAAAGTAAGCACCCTCTCGTTACCGGAAAAGCGGTCACATAGTAATTGATTTGTCCCTTGGGTAATCCAATTCCGGTTATTCTCGAGTCCAAGCTTCTAGAGTCCTTTAATTCATTTGCAGTGGAGACTTCCATACTCGCTATTTGTCCTGGCATGCTTGGGTTCTAGGCATATTCATCCATGTCATTGATATGCGGCCTTCCTCTCCTTGAGTGCGTCTACTGTCTGGCATGCGCTCGTTGGGCATGGAAGCGATGTCTCCATACCGCAGGTCATGACAGTGAAACCTGGGGCCATGCCAGTGCTGAAGAATTTGAGCCTGTTCCTCGCCTTTGCCGCTACATTCTAGCTGTTTATGAAGATGATTTGCGGAGCCCCCTTTGGGAACCCCAAGGAGGTTATGGAATAAACCCGGATTGGTTGGTTCTGCGAAAAGATTATGCAGACACACGAGGATGGGCACCTCCTTATATACTGTATGTTGATCACGATCATGCAGACATAGTTCTTGCCTTTAGGGGTTTAAACTTGGCAAAAGAGAGTGATTATGCAGTGCTCTTGGATAATAGATTGGGGAAAAGGAAGTTTGATGGTGGCTATGTTCATAATGGGTTACTAAAGGCTGCTGCGTGGGTATTGGATGCAGAATGTGAGGTCTTGAAGAAATTGGTGGAGAAGCACCCTAATTACACATTGACTTTTGCTGGACATTCATTAGGTTCTGGTGTTGCAGCATTGTTGTCAATGGTGGTTGTGAGAAATCTTGACAAGCTGGGTAATATTGAAAGGAAGCGAGTCAGATGCTATGCCATTGCACCTGCCCGGTGCATGTCCCTGAATTTGGCTGTCAGATATGCGGATGTCATCAACTCTGTTGTGCTCCAGGCAAGTTCGTAGTCCCTTTGTTGTTCATTGTTGTAAGTTGAATGAAAGTGAGAACTTGAGTATCTCGATGTATGGAGACATGCCTATTGAAGTTTACTTGCTATGGGAACTTTGGTATGCATTGCTCGTTTCTATTTACGCATTGGTTAATTTAAAATCTTAAGCCACAATGGCCATTCTTCAAAGTTCTTGGCGCTGTATACGGCTGTGCGGATGCACTGTCAGATTCCAGATTTCTTTTCATTCTTTTTTTCCCTTTTGCAATCTCAAAAAGACAGCACGGGAGCATCTCTTCTGGTGAGGTTAATATAGAGTGTGAATTTGCTGGCTCTCTACTTCATGTTTGCTGAAGTCTGGTGAGATATGCCATCTTCCTCATGGAAATTTGCCTCAATGAAATCCAACTGCTTCTGCCACAGATGTAAACGATAAAAAAGGTGTGAGATGGTGAATTGCTACTTTCTAAAGCCCTTGACAAATTATTCGTTAAGAATCATCGTAGCGGCACTGTCTAGGTATACTGATTTTGAGATCGAACGTGTTTGGTTAAGCATTTTGTCGGCAGCTATAGCATCATGTAGCTGCACTCTGCTAGTGTCTGCTATTCTGCCACAAGTAATTTTTTATTCATCTGATGGAGATTTTTCCATTGATCAGGATGATTTTTTACCTCGAACAGCTACACCCTTGGAAGACATCTTCAAGTCACTTTTCTGGTAGGGGCTGCAGCAACAATTCTGAGTCACAATATAGCAAAATAAGAACTTTAGTTCCGTGAGGCAAATTAGAGCTTCCCTTCCTTCTTATCACAAGAGTATCGATTGCAATACAAATGCGGTTAGCAAAGAATGTTGAAGTGATAAAGATCGAAGATTATGGACATTAAATTCAATTTCTCTTTCTTTTCTGTTTTGTTTTTTGGTCTCTCACTTGAAAGTATTGATGGATCTTCTTTCTCTTGTTGGACAGTTTGCCATGCCTCCTGTGCTTGAGGTGCATGAGGGATACCTGTATTCCAGAGGAAAAGATGCTGAAAGATCCCAGAAGACTTTATGCACCCGGTCGCCTCTATCATATAGTTGAGAGAAAGCCTTTCAAGTATGTTAAGTCGTCTAGAGAAGATATAGCGTATGCAAAGAATTGTCATACATTTTAACTGCAAATAGAGATTTTTTCTTTTGATTTTGTCAAGCACGTGCACATAAGTTGAATAACTTATCTGGTAAACTAAAGCATTGCCTTGCATGATTGTCCAAGTAATACTCTCTGACTTAAGGCAATACAGACGAATTTATGGTCCTCATCATGTGCAGCATCTCTAATAGAAATTTGGCTCCTTAATGCATCTACTATACAGTTTCAAGGAGGTAGGAATTCATTAATTTCTACTATGCTAGGATGGGACGATTTCCCCCAGTTGTAAGGACAGCAGTGCCCGTGGATGGGAGGTTCGAGCACATAGTTCTATCTTGCAATGCGACTTCTGACCATGCAATCATATGGATAGAGAGAGAAGCACAGAGGGCTCTCAATGTAAGTTTCGATTCCTATCTTTACTGTGATTGTGAAGCCAAGTGTACTCATTTTTCTCTCTACTCATCTTAGTCACCTTCCTATAGCACGAAATGCATATATATGAGATGCTGCCTAATAGATAATACCTTACTGGACAATCAAAACTTTTTAGAAGTTCTTTTATGTGGGGTGGTAAACGGTTAACCAAAAATGTTAGGATTGTGGACCGGCTGTGATAAAACTTTTCAAGAAAGTAAAAGGCCAAGCATGAGTTTCTAGGCCTATGAAATGTGGAAGAGATCCTGAGCTCAAGATAGAGATCCAGAGATTTGCGTATGTGGCGGTCTCACCTCTATACATTGGAAAACCGTGGCTCTTTTTTGCTTTCCTCCCTCGTGTCCGGTCCTTTCTCTGTGAAATTGCACTGACTAGCAACGAACTAAGTTATATGTGCATCGACATGTATATATGCATCTGAGTGCAAACCAGAGCATATCGCATTACTGGGTACTGTTTATCAATTTTGTCTAGAAGGTACCAGTCATGACATATTTCAAGGCGTGGAATTGGCAGGCATAGGAAGCAAATATTACGTGTATCTGTCACTTAATGATGTTTGTGCGTGCACCATGGATGTCAAATTATATGACTGGAGTCCTTAGAAGGACAAGCTGGTGAAGCATCAATGGGTTCTTCCTATTAGCCAATCAATAATAAAATAGACAGTCCCATGGATGACTCTGGGTGTGGTTCCCTATTTAACTGCTTTGTCCATACAAGAAATTACCATCTGCTATCTCGAATTTTGATGAAAGCACCTTGCCATTTTTCCCCTCCAGCTGATACTTGAGAAAGATCATCTCATGGAAATTCCAGTAAATCAACGGATGGAGCGGCAGGAAACAATTGTCAGAGAACACAAAGAGGAGTACAAGGCTGCTTTGAAGAGGGCAGTTACTTTGGATGTTCCACATGCTTATTCACCTTCTCAATATGGCACTTTCGATGAGCTAGAAGAAGGGCAAGATTCATACAAATCCGATGGTGGCTCATCTGCGAGCTCGTCCCAAAGGGAAAAAAAGAACGAAAGCTGGGATGTACTGATTGAGCGTCTCTTCGACAAGGATGAATCAGGTCACGTGATTTTGAAGAAATCTCATCATCAAGAAGATTGATTGTGCAATTTGAGGGAAAACGCAACTTTTGAGTAAATGAGTCCCGTTTGATACTTCCATTGATTTATTTGTACTTCATATGGAATAATATTTGGGAGAAATTGGTTTGGCTGAGTACTCATCGAGGTGCTGAGCTTTGGTGCATAATTAGAGGACAGTGCGGGCCAAAGAACAGAAAAATTATTTGATTAAGTTTTAGCAATCATGTACGAAACAGGATGAAGAGAATGCAGAACAACAAGTATAGAGTGGTGGTGCTTGATCTCGACCTCATTTGGAGTCGAAGAGCGTCAGGTCATTTTGATCCATTGTCCATCTTTTTATTCCTTTTTTATTGGATAAGCTAAGAAATCTTGATTCATTGTCCATCTTCTTCCAAGCTCCAGCTGATCTTTGAGGTTTGCAAAAAGTGAAGCACTTGAAAGTCAGCTGCAATTTCACACTTTCGCAAGAAAAGAAGAAAGCGAGAGAGAATCATGCTGGAGAGGCAAAGCTTCTGCTGGTCTTTTGATTGCCTTAACGAAGCATGCTTGCAGAAATTTTCAGCTGACAAAATCTAACCAGTAAGAATTCACTGTGGGAAGTGCAGCTAAGGGAGAAAGTTCTCTGGGGAACATACAGCTACATATAACCGTGTGTATATGTAAATTCAATCTTACTGTGCGCAACTAAAAATTGCATGAAATATGCACTATGTCTCTGAATAAAAGAATAAGATTTGATTTACGTATCGTCGGATGAATCACATGAAAAACATGGAGTCTAAACTATAGAATTCAGTAATTACATATAACAGTTAAGAGGGTAAAAATGCTGGATAAAAATTTCGTAAATGGGATTAGGATGCTTAATATTGATGGTTAGTGACGGTTTCATTTGTACGATGCATTAATATTCGACTCTATAGGAACAGGACCCGACTGGACCAATAACCGGGCCTCTTAGTTCACATTTTTTTTTTGTATTGTCCAAATTAAAATATGTGGAGAGAAAATGACACATATAGTCCACGAACTTTGGTTCAACGTAGAATGTGGTCCCTCAACTTTTAATTTGTTAAATATGATCCTTGGGCTTTTGGTACATGTTTAATTTAGTTCCCAAACTATGTGAAATGTTATATGTTGTCCTTCCATTAATTCAAGTTTAGGGACAATATTAAATAATTTCATATTCTAAAAATCATATTATACAAATTAAAAGTTTAGAGACTACATTGCATATTGAGCTAAAATTCATCAATCATATTGCATTTGAATCAAAGTTCATGGTGAATTTGTGTAACCGGCGAAGAATTGGCCAAGTTTTTTTGAAAGAATGGTCTAGACTTCATAATCTTATCTGAAATCTTCGTAACCTGGGGGCGCTTGCTAATCAAGTCGAGGAAATTAACGGGAGATTTATTACCCGTCCATGTAAATTACTCATAAAATAATTCAAAGAAATTCATCTTTACTAAGCACGATACGAGCCCACAGAATATCATCATCATCATCAAACTAACGACGAAAGGCACCAAGAACAGGAGGAAGACATTCGCCATCTCCTTCAGCGCGACCGCGATCGGAGCGAAAGAGGGCGTCAAGCATTTCCGTCTCCGATTCTCTCTCGGCTTTTGCCTTCTTCGGCTTCTCAGTCTCTCTCTCTCTCCCGCTCGATCGATCGCCCGCCGATGGCCGCTCTCCCGTCGATTCTACTCGTGGCCTTCGTGCTTCCCCTGTCCAGCTGCTCCGCGGAGAGGTGAGAAGCAACCTCCGTCGTTTCTCGCATTATCATTTCCTTTCGTTGCGAGTTTTGATCCGGTGCAGACACGCGCGTGCTGTTCTCCTTGATTCGGACATTTTCCGACGATCCGTGTCGCCGTCAGCTTCGGCGCCTCGGTACTCGTAGTTTGGTTTCTAGAGGTTTGAATCGGATCGCCTTTCGCCGGCGGAGCGTTCTGGTTTTCGCGCGTAATGTTGTGTCGCGGACGTTGCTCGAGTTGTTTAGGGATGTTTGTTGATGACGGTATGATATTGCTTAAAATCTCGCTGTGTTGCGAATTTGCTGAGCGGTGAGCACAATATCAATGAAGGATCTTGTCTTCATTCGTTTGGTTGCTCCAGATTCTCTTTCAACTGGAAAAAATTATCAATTTGAAGTCATTTGAAAATCCTCCAGACGATATTTTGCTTGGATTGGTTCGATTTATTTTCCAGCAGAGGTGATTCCCTCGCGAAATTTGTTTTGAAATCTCTGTTGCTATTACTAATTAAGTCCAGGACACAAGCGATGAGTTGGGTATAGGGGATATTTGCCAATATCCTGGTATTGCTTAGAATTTGCTTATTGCTCCAGGAAAGAATGTGACACTTCTTTGTCTTGATTCATTCCTCTTATGGATGAACTTTGAATGTAGCCGTTGGCTGATCAAGTTTCAGGTTTTTGCTGTTCATGATGCCTCCGCTATTGGATTAAACTTTTCTTCCTTTCTCTTTGTCCAATTCTGGACCCTGGACCTTTGTATCCACGATTATTTAGTGCCATATAATTCAAAGAAATTGGTGTTTTGATATGACATTTCTTGGCTTATCCTCACGTTTCAGCAGCCGCAAGGAGCTCAGGGATAAGGAAGTTGACAGGAACATGGTCATTGCAACGGGGAACTCATTGATTTCCAACAGAATTAACCCCTCACGAGTTGTCCAGCTCTCGTGGCGACCAAGGTCAGGTATTTCCATGAAGTCTCACTCTTGTTAGATGGATAGCGCCTTATTTCATCAATGTACTGTTTTTGGAATCGTTGTTCATTCCATATCTTTCTCCTTGCGCAAGAAGGACGAACATGTGTAGCATTTTTTTAATCTGTATGGTTACAGGATATATTAATGTTTCTTATACGGATCAATTCTCATGCGAGCGTAAATGATTCACGGTGCAAACTTTTCTTGATTTAAACGGTATATTGAATTACTCTAAGGGGCTAAAGTTTCCTTCCCTTGACAGGGTCTTTTTGTATAGGGGTTTTATGACAGATGAAGAGTGTGATCACCTTAAGTCGTTGGTATATCTCTTCCTTCCCCGTTGTTACTGTTGATCAATATGCACACATGTAAAAACTTCTGTTGGTAGGTCCATGGTACAAATGAGAACATGAGGAGGGATGGTGATTTGGAGAAAGTTGCTACTCAAAGGCGTTTGTTGAGCTCTAAAATTCCATTAGATCTGACAGTGAGTTTTTGACTTTTATGCATCTTCATTTCAAATAAATTCTGCAGTTAAAGTTTTCGATTCGCTGCTGTAGCTTTTAAATTCTGCAGTGAGTTTTTGACTTTTATAGCAGAGGTCTGGATAATTAAGGTTTATGGACACTCGTCATGTCATGTTACACTGGCTATGCTTCAATTGCAGTCTTCTTGACTTCTTTAGCTGCAACTTGCTGTATTGACATTCCTCTCGTCAAGATCACCTATTGTGCACGATAGTTTAAAAACCTTGTTATTTATTTTATAATTTACCATTTGTTGCACCTGAGAAGTTGATGACACTAGAACTCTAAAGTCCTTAACTTTTGCATGTGACAATTAATACCAATATCAGTTGCTGTAATTGTGCTCTTATCCACATGTAGATTGTTGACTTTATAGCATTTAATGGTATGTGAGGTGTATCATTCTTTTAAAGGTATCTCCTTTTTTTCCTTCAGAAGTATCAGATAGATGCCCTAATGGATTCCTTATTATTTATCCATATGTAAAGCTTCATAGCAGTGTCAGTTCAACATTTCTTGCTTGAATGGTTCATTGAATTGATCAGGTTTGAAAATATTTGTAGTGCATAGAAGTTTCATAATCTTCCACGTTTCTTAGGAATTCACTTAATTGAAAATAGTGTTGCTTCGTTTTTTTTTTGGTCAGAGTGTTGCTTTGTTAAAGCAATTTATTATGGGGCAGTTAAGAAAAATCCTAGATCCTCAGTATCATAATGTTTTTCTGGTTGATTGGCTCCTCTAAACTCCAAAGGGGGAGTTTCTTTCTTAGCAGAATAAGGGTAGTGAAAACTTTTGGAAAGCTGTTCCAGATTTGAGTTAAATTAACCAACAGTGTACCTTTGCTCCTCTTAGGATGACATAGTGACAAGGATCGAGGAAAGGATTTCAGCTTGGAGTTTTCTCCCGAAAGGTACTTGCTTCATGTAGTCCCTGTCTTAAGTCCTTGAAGGGCTGCCTTGTGTACACCATCTATACTAAGATAATTTGACTATCACGATGTTACAGAGATGGGCAGGCGCATACAGATAATGCATTTCGGGTTGGAAGAAGGTAAACTAAAGTATGATTATTACGGTAATGCTTCCGTGCCAACACAGGCCAAGAATTTGATGGCAACGGTTATTTTGTATCTTTCAAATGTCACTCAGGGTGGGGAGATACTTTTCCCTGAGTCAGAGGTGAGAAGAGCTTAGCCTCAATCTATCCCTAGTACTTCTGCAATTGTAGTGCAAACTCACTTTTTTCCCTTACTTCGAGTCTCTCAGTTGAACGGCAAGAGCTGGTCTGATTGTAGCAAGAGTGATGACATCTTGAGACCAATGAAAGGGGATGCCATCTTGTTTTTCTCTCTCCATCTCGATGCATCTCCTGACACGAGAAGCACCCACGCAAGGTGCCCCGTCCTTGAAGGTGAAATGTGGTGTGCAATGAAGCTCTTTCACATACGAGCCCTAGACAGTGAAAAGATATCCTTGGACTCTGACAGCGACGGCTGCACTGATGAGGATGAGAATTGTCCGAGATGGGCTGCCGCCGGAGAATGCCAAAAGAATCCTGTATACATGGTCGGCTCGCCAGATTACTACGGGACATGTAGGAAGAGTTGCAATGCATGCTGATGGCACCCTTACCCGGCTTCGCACCGAAAGCTGAGGTTCTGACTCTCACTTGTCTATCATGCAAAAGCGAACTGGCAAATGTAAATGGTCGGGAATAGTCTCAGTTTCTCATGGACTCCATCCGATGCTGAAGAGAGTTTCAGGTTCTCATGTCTACGTCGGCGGGAAAGCTTCATGTCAGGATCTTTTAGAATAGCAATCAGTTGCCAATACGAGACAAAGCTAATCACGTTACAGACTCTATACAAGGATTTGGTCTTAATGGGGTTTAATCCCATCATTGTAATTCTTCTTTTGTATTCATGATCCGCTCGATATAAGAATAACAAACAGCTAAATAATCTGCTCATCCGAAAATCCCTGCGCATTAGATTCTTGATCAAACTAATACTAAGATCACATGGTGGGTTTGAAAACAGAGGTTTTTAGGTGCCTCAAGAACACGACGTTGACTAGGTAAAAACGTTTGGCAGCTTCATCAAAAGTCGACTCTTTTCCGTGTGTACTCTCGCCGTAACTTGGATGATCACCGCCTTTGACGGTTTACAGCTGACAACCAGAGCAAATTCTGTCCCTTTTTTCCCAGATTTAACATCATATCCTAAACATCAAAACGACCCAAAAGGTCAAAAGCAAAGCGTTACGCCTTAAGCCATCAGACGCGACCATAGTGAAGCAAATCTTGAGCAGCTTTTATTTCATAATCAATTGAGAAACAAAACGATCGCCTAATCGATTTTGGGATCGTGAACGATTTTTAGGTCGGGACAGCATCTTTCAATCTGCAAGTTACCGACTTTTAATCTCTCACGGGCGCGCAAGCTAACTGGCCGTCAAGCAGCAAAATCGCGATTTTGAGAGATTCGAAACGCGCGGATCGATTCATAACCGAGAAGCGCCGCGCGCTCGATCGCCGACCCCCCCGCGTGGTCGAGTTACGGAGCAGATTCGACGGAGGGGACCGAGCTCGGCTTCTTCAGGGAACAAGCGGATTTGAAAGCTTCGATCTGCGATTGGCACTTCAGGTAATCGCCCCTGTTCTCTTCCAAGCACTTCTTCAGAGCCTCCACGTCGCATGGCGACATCACCTTCTTCGCGCCATTGTTCTCCGCCGCCTTCTCGTCCCCCTTCATCCTTTCTCGAAGCTCGAAAAAAAACACCAAAACTTCCTTGGTTTGGGCTGCCGCTGAGCGTGAGCGACGAAGGGGGGCGAGAGCCTAGAAATCATCTAAATTTCACGGGGCGATGCGCCAAGACTCGAAACGCTGCGTTTTTTGAGCGGTCCGTTCATTCTCGCCGGAGTCGCATTCCCCCGTGTTGGGTTTAAAATTCATCCTCCGAAATCATAATGCAATTCTCTTTCGATCCGAACGTGCGACCCGAGGGAGTACATCTCTTGGTCCAAAAGAAGAAGAGAAAATGAATTAAATGGTTCATAAACTTTGGTTCAATATGCAATGTGATCCATGAATTTTTAATTTATTTAATGTGGTCTCCGAATTATAGCCCAATGTGTAATGTGGTCCATGAACTTTCTATTTGTTTAATGTCGTCCATCGACTTTTCGTACATGTTCTATTTAGTTCCTAAACTAAATAAAAATGTTCAATATTGTCCTTCCATTACTTCAAGTTCAGGGACAATATTAAACATTTTTATATAATTCAAGTACTAAGTTGAACACGTATCAAAAGTCCAAGGATAACAAATTAAAAATTTAGGGACTACATTGTACACTGGGCCAAAGTTTAGGGACTATTTGTGTCCTATTGTCAAAAGAAAATTGTTTTCATAGTAGATTTTTTTTTTCAGTTTGTTTAGGTAAAAAAGACGTTGTCAATCAAATAAACCAACCGTAAATATTTTCTTGCTTCGAACATTAACAAACGGGTATTGGGATTAAGATGTGATGGGTGTAACTCTTTTTGACACCGGAATGTGATGTACACAGTTCGACCAACATTTTGACCCCCATCTAAATGCTCTAGGACTCCGTAGCAAGAGCTCCATTTCCAACTCTGTTTTGTAAGATATATCAACAAAAGAAGTATGATATTCTCAGGGAAAAACTGTCATCGACAAATTTTGAGCTTTGAACATAAAGAAACCAAGAAACGTTTCGAGTGGAAAGTTGGGGCAGGAATTCTAGAGAGAAAATGTACCACGAAAGCTTTCTTCATGAATCCCATAAAAACAGTGTCGTGTGCTATCCGTACTGTTGGTTAGTGGTAGTGCTATAAAAAAATTCTAGGTACAGGGGAGAAATGTAAGGAAAATAAACCAATGAATAGCAAACTCGTGTAGCTATCGCTTCGCTGGTGAAAGAGAAGAAGCCGGGGTTTAGGCGCCCGGGGAACTCTTCATGGTAGGTGTAGTTCCCTGGTAGAGACTGTGATCCGGATCAATGGGAAACAGCTACTGATTAAGCGCCAGAATGAAGCAAGGCTTGCATTTCCGGGAGCATCCTCCTTACGTTAGGGACGGCAGGGTTCATCTTAAAGATTCGCCACGGCCAACATATACGTCTAACCCTTTGCCGGCCCTTCTTTTCCTTGCCATCCACCTCTTCTAGCTGTCTCGTCAGCGCTTCTATCCGCTCCCGGAGCCCTGCCGCCCTGCTATCAGCCAGCTGAAGCGACCTTTCTGCCGCCTCCTGCGCAGCCATTGCAGCGGCTGCAAGGTCTTCTTTCAGTTTTAGCTTCCCATTTGATATGTCCAAAGCTGCCTTGGTCTTCTCCAATTCTTGCTTCAGAATGATGACCTAACCAGTGTTATTTTGACCAACATGGACTGGTGAATACTATAACCAATTACCAACATCGACTCCATATGAAAAACCAGTATTATCTTGACCACTGTGGATCTAAATCTCTCTACAACTGAAAAATGATGGAAGACAATTCTTGAACAAAAGCACTGAGACTGTGAAAGAACATGGCTTTGCATCAGGGATGCAGGAAGTCTAGAATGCAATTTGGTTATGACGGTCTATGATTTGGCATAATGCAAGAATTATGCTAATACATAACAACTTATAACTGAAAAAACTTAGTAAACAAGAGAGATGGATAACATTACTGATCACAATTCACGATCACTTAAAGAAGTTATTATGCCATCGTTTTTTTCCCTGGTGGACAAACTTGATAACTTTTCTTATCTGAATAAACAGACGTAATGCATAATTGATCAGCCACTGCATTTATTTTATAAAAGTTCAGTGCCTTACACACAAGCTAAAATCATTTGAGATCAATCCAAACAAAATCCGGCAAATATGATATTCCAATGTTAAGTTAATTTCTTCCATGGGGCGATGAATAAGAAGACAGCAATATTCTTCCTAGTCTATCTTGATCAATGCAAAATTTTCGAATAAAAGCCTTTAATAATTAAAGGAAAGAAGAAAAATAGAACAGCTTCAGAGGAAATTTAAGCAGAAACTACAAGTTTAATCAAGAAAAATTCACTTCTGAGAGAGAGCTATTACCACTTTATCACGTTCTTCAATTTCATTCTTCCCTGCTACCACTTCCAACTCACAAGCTTCTCTCCATCTGGCAACCTCTACTTCAGTTTCTTTAATTTCGTTCAATAACTCCTCAACCTTTCCACAATGAAGAAGAAAATTGAGTCAGCAAAAAATTATCATGTTGCAGATGCTTACAGAGTCCCCGAATAATCACTTGAATGAGCCACATCATTACATTTTGAGCTAATAGCCTCTCTCTTTCTTCCAATTCTTTTATGTACAGTGTGTTTTCGGCAATTTCCTGAGCTTGTTTGTTTGTAAGGCTCTGTAGACGCTCGGTATCTGACCTGATAGCGGAACAACAGCAATCACTAAAAAGTCACGCATTTAATCATAGGAAGGGGCTATTTCAACATATGGGCTAGCTGTTCTGAGCATCATAGTAAATTAGTGCTTCCTTTCAAAAGCTGGTCTCCTTGCAATGCTGTGTGAAAACATCTATGAAACCGGATGAAAAAGGGAACTCAATACAGGAAATTTGATCACCATCCACAGGATAAGAGACTTGCATGTGAGCACTTTCGCATGCAAGAGTACAAGAGGATTTGCAAACGATCACTTATCCAAGCTATTATTACAAGTAAAGCATAGGTCCTCACTTGTTACAGATTTCAAATGTGCTCAAAACTTAAAGCTTGGAGACACATCATAGTTCTCCAGAGGATGAATGGATTCGTGAAGCCCAGAAAAAGGTTTGAGATAAGAAAACGGTTTGTGAATTTTTACATTTCTTACACAATGCTCACATTGATCTTTTGCGTTATATCTTTCCTATACTTTAGGAAGTGACTTTACTCAACAAAGGCAAACACCCTTAGCACGGCTGGAATCTTTTAACAAGTTAAAAAATAAAGAATAGTCCTCGAGAGTTCCTATTCCACCTGGAAGAGAGAGCACATAACAAGGAAAGGAATGGAGAAAGCAAATATGGAATGTGCCGTCCATCCTGTTGTACCTTGATTCCTCTAAAGATTTCCTCAACTGAGTGATTTCTTGCCTCAAATTCTTCATTATTCTCTCTACAGTTGAAGCCTGGTCATAAGAAACAAAATCAGACAAGGGTATTCTCATAGAGACTCACTATTGGTATTCTTTACAGACCAACCATTCGCAATATTCTCTTGCCAGTCTAGTTTTTCTTAAATGTCAACACAGATGCCAGTAATTCAGCAAATTGAAATTAGCAAAGTAATTATTGACAAAAACAAAAAACAAAAAAACATATGAAAGGACACTAATGAATAATGATTTTTATGCCAATTTTTAGAAGGATCATAATGTCGGCCAAAAGCAGCCACACATGCGAAAAACACAGATGAATAGGCAGATAGAGACGCATACAAGTGCACCTTGCGCACACGAAGCAATGCCTCTACCGTGTGAAACTTAAATGGAGATCATCCTTTTCTACCTTTCTAGCTTATAACTTTGTTATGGCAGAAGGTTGCAGTATGTCAGGACTCGTGACATCGGAAAAGATTGGCGCTGCACCTCCTAGAAGAATCTTTCTTGAGTTTCTCTTCAGTAAAGCATGCTATCATTTATGTGTTTCTGGAGACAGGTCCTCATATACACTATCAAAATGGATTTTTACTAGAAATAATCACATAACAGAATCAGGAAGTTTCAATGTGGAATTGTGAGTTATCATCTTCACCGACCTCACGCTTGCCCTCTCAATAATAGAATTTGTTGTATTTAAAGTAATACCAAATGATTTATGCTGTGCACCACTGAATTAGGATTGACAAGATTTTACCTAAAATACCACACAGTTGACGAAAGTGTAGCATTAGTTGGCACAACAAAGAAGGGGACTCTAAATGCATTTCAAATAACATTGAACTAGTACATGTTCAAAATGGATTGAACAAGACAAAGAACTAAACATACCAGACTAACAACTTCCTCCTCGCAGTCGCTACCATCTGACTTACTCCCGGTACTAGATGCGCCCGAGCTCTCCATTGGTTGCTCGGGATTCCCACTTCCCATCATAAACCCGAACCCAACACCCCGTAACCCACGTTCGGCAAATTGCAACAGTGCCACCCTCTTCTGCTCATTACCCCCTCTCAACTTATTCAGACTCCTCTCCACAGCCTCCTTCTCGACGAGAGCAACCCTCAACAGGCTACTGATATCGCGGTTTTCCTCCGTCAAACTCACCACGCTGTTCTCCAATTGCTTTCTCTCCTTTTTCTTCGTTTCCTTATAATCATTGACTTTTGATCTTGCCACATCAACAAGCCTTGTAATTTCGGATATTTCTTCCGACACCGATCTCGATTCTCGGTCTAGTTCTTCTCCCGTATCTGGGCTTTCATCTTCGTCTCTCTCGACGACCTCCTCATCATCCAGACTCTCTATTATCCTTGCCAAGCTCTCCTTCACCGCCTTTACCGAATCCGCGATTCTCAGCAGAAACTCCTTTTGCTTCTCCCTCTCCGCCTCCAATCCGTGAAACTTCTCCCTGTACACTTCAATCTCGATCCTAAGCCCTTCTCTCTCCCTCAACTCCTCTTCAAACCTCGCCACGGACTCCTCTTCCCTCTCCGCGGCCGAATCCTCCAGCTCCTTAATCCTCCCGCGGAGCGAGTCTCTCTCGCTCGACAAGCCATCCACGGCCTCTCTCAAGCTCGCGGTTCGGCCGATCGCTTCGTCTCGCTGCCGCCGGACGAGAGCCAAGTCCTCCTCCATGGCCGCCGACTTCGATTGGAGGTGCTGGAGCGATTCGCGGGCGGACTCGAGCTCGGAGGAGAGGAGGAGGCCATGGTCGGAGTCGTCGTCGGCGGCGGCGGCGAGAGCGGGAGTCGGAGGATCAGGGCCGTCGGTGTGGGGATCGGGCGGTGGTTCCGTGGCGGTTTCCATGGTCCATAGAGTGTTGAGTGACGAGGGAGTTTCATAGGCACAAGGAAAGCTTTTCGAGAAAAGGAGCAAGAAAATGTGGGAAGGGGATTCCGCGAAACTAACAGTCAAAGCAATGGAGGGGAAGAGGAAAGTACGGGTAGGTCGGGATTTGGCGGGGTTCTTCTTCGATTTTGGTCTGTTTGGTTGCGGAGAAAGCCGAAGAAAATGTTCGGAACGGGGATACGGCGAGAATGGATTAGGCCCAGAGTTTATTAAATTAAAAGAGAGAGAGGGGGGGGGGGGGATGTCCAAAAAAATAGCACTTAAACACTTATTCAATGTCCAATTTGGTATTTATTTGAGATAGTTTAAAGAAACTTTCAATAGTGAAAAATTACTAAAAATGTTGTGACATCACTAATTACTGATAGAAACAAAAAAATTTATTTTTCTAATTAAGAAACTTTACATTTTGATAACTATCTTTTCGTGATGGTAAGAAAAGCAAGCATGCGATTAAAATAATTGCATGACTTTTTAAGCAAGAAAAAAATAATATAAGTTAGGGGGGTGATTGCTTCTCGATCCGGTTTAGTTTTGAGGTGGAACCGGGAACCGGACAAGAATGACTTGTTCCCAAAATTAGGAATCATGGACTGGACCGGTTGGTCTTAGGACCGGGAACCGGATCGAACCACCGACCCGTGACGCAGCGTTCAGCGAATAATTCAAGCAAAACCTTGCTTAGAGAGAAAAATCTCGAAATTCAATATTGATGATAATGTTCTGTTTTTGAAAAAGAACCCTAAAACAAGCTTATATATCCCTAAACCAAACCCTACTAGGATTAGAAAACATAAAACATCAAAATTACAAAACTGCCCTTAAAATTAAAACCCATAAAAAATTATTAAAAAAATGAAAAACCCATGTAAACGACCCCGAATCGCTAAAATCCATCATAGTCATAGCCAAAGGCGGTGAGTTTTGTTCAGAACGCTGTTTCGCTTAAAACGCCCGAATTTGAGCCCAATCCGATGTCGTCAACCGGGTCCGCCGATTCTAGTCGCATCACCATTTCACCTTCCGTTTGGACTTCTGCCTGTCCAACCGGTCCAGAAACGCTTCACTAATAGATTCTGCATCATTCTCCTCCACTTGAAAAGAACTCGTTCTCGAGTTAAAATCAGGATCTGGATATAACGGCTCTGTGGACTCATGAAACGGTGATTCATCGGCAATATTGAAAGTGTTAGATATGCCCATACTATGTGGATGGTCTATAACATAAGCATTATCGTTGATCTTCTTGCTGACAGTGTAAGGTCCATACTTCCTTTGCTGCAATTTGCTATAAGATCCAACTGGTAATCGCTCTTTACGAAGAAAAACCATGACCTGATCACCTACCGCAAACACCTGCTTCCGCCTGTGCTTATCTGCTGCAGCTTTATACTTCTGATTAGCTTCCTCCAGCTTCTGTTTGACTTCATGATGCACCTCCACAATCTGTTTAGCCATATGATCCGCTGTTACACTTTTATTCACCTGCTTAGGCAACTGTACCAAATCCAGAGTATGCCGAGGTGCCTTTGTATAAACAACAGAAAAATGTGACCTGCCAATAGAACTATGAACTGCATTATTATAAGCAAACTTTGCTTGTGATAAAGCAACATCCCATTGCTTCGGCTTATCTCCACAAATGCTTCGAATCAAATTTCCCAGAGTTCTATTAACCACCTCTGTTTGCCCATCAGTCTGCGGGTGAACAGTGCTACTGAAATTCAAAGATGAATCAAACAGTTTCCATAAAGTCCGCCAAAAATGCCCTAGAAATTTACTATCCCTATCTGAGGTAATAGACTTGGGCACACCATGCAAACGAACCACTTCCTTAAAGAGTAATCTAGCCACACTTACTGCATCAGAAGTTTTCCTACAAGGAATGAAGTGCGCCATCTTGGAAAATCTGTCAACCACAACGAAAACAGAATCCATGCCTCTTTGTGTCCGTGGTAAACCAAGCACAAAATCCATGGACAGATCTTCCCATATATTGTCAGGAACAAGTAATGGCATATATAAACCTGTATTATTAGATTTCCCCTTAGCAGTCTGGCAAACATAACACTTTTGTACGTACCTGCTGACATCTCTACGCAACTGGGGCCAGTAAAATCGCTCCTGGACTGCAGCAATAGTTTTATCACGACCCAAGTGTGCAGCTAATCCACCATCATGTAAATCACGAATTACCTTCTCTCGTAATGATGTTCGAGGACGGCAAAGCTGGTTGCTACGTATCAAATAGCCATTCTGCACATAAAATTCTTGCACAGGTTGGCCAGCAGCACATGACTTCCAAATTTGCCCAAAGTCATCATCATCTGCATAACAATCTTTCAGCTGCTCGAACCCCAAGATGTCTTGGCTTAATGTAATCAACAAGCTAGCTCTCCTACTCAATGCATCTGCTACGACATTATGCACACCTGACTTGTGCTGTAATTTGAAAGGAAATTTTTGCAAAAATTGATATCATCGCGCATGCATATCTTTGCTAATCCTCTTCTGACTATTTAAATACTTCAAAGCTTCATGATCAGAATAAAGGACGAATTCTTTCCCAATCAGATAATGCTCCCAGGTCTTCAAAACTCTTACGACAGAATAAAATTCTTTGTCATAAGTGCTCCACTTCTGTCTCGCCTCGCTAAGCTTCTCACTGAAATAGCAAATTGATCTGCGCTTTTGAGATAAAACAGCTCCTATACCAACTCCACTAGCATCACGGTCCACTTTAAAAAGTTTATCAAAATCAGGTAAAGTAAGAACATGTGCGGTACATAACTTTTCCTTCAGAATAGCCAAACTATTCTCTGCTTCCTTTCCCCATAGAAATTTGCCTTTCTTCATACATTCAGTAATCGGGGCTGCGATAGTATTGAAATTCTTAATAAATCGCCAATAAAAAGTAGCCAACCCATGAAAACTCCTAACGTCAGAAACTATCTTAGGAGTCGACCACTCTTTGATTGCTCTTACCTTCCTCTCATCTACCTCTATTTCTTAAGCAGTAATAATAAACCTCAGGAATAACAGTTTATTAGTTAAAAAACTGCACTACGTAAGATTAATATACAGCTTATTAATCTGCAAAACTGTCAATACCTCCCTTAAGTGCATCATATGATCCTCCTCAGTCTTACTATAAATCAAGATATCATCAAAATAAACTACAATAAATTTGCCAAGAAAAGATTTCAGAACCTGATTCATAAGCCTCATTAAAGTGCTTGGAGCATTGGAAAGTCCGAAAGGCATCACCAACCATTCATACAACCCCTCCTTTGTTTTGAAAGCTGTCTTCCACTCATCTCCGGGCCGAATCCGAATATGATGGTATCCATTCTTCAAATCCAGTTTCGAAAACCACTTAGCACCGTGCAACCTATCCAGCATGTCATCCAATCTCGGAATTGGAAACTTGTAACCCACGGTTATTTTATTAATAGCCCTGCTAACTACACACATCCGCCAACTCCCATCTTTCTTAGGAGTCAACAAGGCCGGAACAGCACACGGGCTCATGCTATTCTGAATGTGCCCCTTTTGCAACAACTCCTCCACCTTCTCTTTTAGAATCTCGCTCTCTTTAGGACTCATCCTGTAGTGCGGTAAATTAGGTAGACTAGCAATAGGAATTAAGTCTATATGGTGCTGAATATCGCGCATAGGCGGCAACCCATCTGGAATCTCTTCAGGTATCAGTTCGCTAAATTCCTTCAATAAAGGCCTGACTGCTTCAGGCTGCTCCTCCACTTGTAATTCAGCCTTAGTCTCAATTGCTTGTTTCACGACCAGCACGTGAATCTGTCGGGTCTCCTTAACCTCAGCTTCAAATTTCCTCGTAAGGGTAAGGAAATTATTTTTAGCAGCTTGTTTTCCTTTGTTCTTCAGTGGCAGTAACGTATACTTCACTTCATCCTTCACAAGGTTATACTGATTGCTTATTTCCGAATGCTGAGCATTTACATCAAATTGCCATGGCCTCCCAAATAACACGTGACATACATCCATGTCTACTACATCACAATATAGCTCATCATGATATTTTCCAATGGAGAATGAAATTTTGCATCGTTCAGTCACCTGAATGTTTTCCACTCTAGATTTAATCCATCCTAACGTATAGGGATTAGGATGCTTCTCCACGGGTATTCCCAACTTCTTCACTGCCTTCTTCCCAATGATATTCTCCATGCTTCCACTATCAATAACCACAGCAAAGATCTTTCCCAAAATGGTGCACCTGGTTCGGAATAACTGATGGCGCTGCGAATCATCTTCATGTTTTAGGGCCAACATCATTCTGCGCACCACACAGTTTACTTGCTCCTCTTCTTCATCTTCAAAATCATCGTCCTCACCATCCGGCGCACAGCAATATCCATCTTCCTCCTCTTCTCTCGCTGCTACGTTTACGGTCTTTCTCTGAGGGCATTCATTAGATCGGTGCCCAAGCTGATTACACCTGTAACACTTTATCGCGGCTGGTTTAGCATAAGGGTTAGGGTTCGTAGTTTTCTGTGCTTGCGTTCCCTTATCCCTCGCATCGTTCATAGGGCTCTTTTCTACCGCCTTATCTTCCTGATTTCGCTCTGCGTTAAAGCGATTATTGAAACTGCTCTTCTCTACCGAACTGCTCGAACTGCTACCTCGATAATTTTCATAGCCTCTTCTTCCCCTGTCTTGCTGCATCAATTCTACCTTCATCGCCATATTCTTGGCTTCAGTTAAATTTCGCAAAAACTGCACTCCAATTTTATCTCGAATGAAGGGTTTTAAACCATCGAGATATCTGTCCACCTGCTGTCCCTTCATCTCTGTTAAATTGTTCCGCTCCGCCAATCTCATAAATTCGGCCGTATACTCATGCACAGTCCGATTGCCCTGCTGACAATGTTGGTACTGCTGGAACATAATCTGTTCATAATCGGGTGGAAAGAATTCCTGCTTCAACATCCTCCTCATTCTAGTCCAAGTTTGAACTCTATCTTTCCCTTCTCGCTCCCTCTTATTCTGCAATCTCTCCCACCATACAGACACACCCCCTTTAATCTACAGGCTACTAATCGCACCCTTTTCTTACTAGGGGTCTCCATATAATCAAAAAATCTATCTATATCCGCAATCCAATCCAGAAATTCTTCTATGCCCAGACTTCTATTAAAATAAGGAATATCGACTTTCAATTTAAAGTCGTTACCTTCACGATCATCGTAACGTCGTCTTCCATCTCTCCTATCATATCCTCTTTGAAATCCTCCATGACGATGTCTGCCGTCATAATCAGCACGTTCCGCATCAAAATAATCGTTTTCTTCTTCTTTCAAACTCTATGAAAACATAGGGTTATGCAACCTGCGGACAGGAACAGGCTTATCAACAGGATCACCGCGAGCAAGATCTGCACCCGGCCTTCTGTCGTTCCGCCGATTCCGGTTCACATCAACGCCGAGACCTTCGAACCGATCTGTTAACTCGTCAAATCGTTCTTCGAAACGACGAAGACTTTGATCGAGTCGTTGATCCAAGCGTTCCATTAAACGCTACTCCAAACGTTGCAGCGCGTCGTCCCCAAGGGTTGGGGCTCCAGTCTCCTGAGCATCGTCATGAAGACCACTGCCAGTCGCCATAGGCTCTGATACCACCTGACGCAGCGTTTAGCGAATAATTCAAGCAAAACCTTGCTTAGAGAGAAAAAACTCGAAATTCAATATTGATGATAATGTTCTGTTCTTGAAAAAGAACCCTAAAACAAGCTTATATATCCCTAAACCAAACCTTACTAGGATTAGAAAACATAAAATATCAAAATTACAAAACTGCCCTTAAAATTAAAACCCATAAAAAATTATTAAAAAAATGAAAAACCCATGTAAATGACCTCGAATCGCTAAAATCCATCGTAGTCATGACCAAAGGTGGTGAGTTTTGTTCAGAACGCCGTTTCGCTTAAAACGCCCGAATTTGAGCCCAATCCGATGTCGTCAACCGGGTCCGCCGGTTCTAGTCGCATCACCGTTTCACCTTCCGTTTGGACTTCTGCCTGTCCAACCGGTCCATAAACGCTTCACTAATAGATTCTGCATTAGTCCGCTCCTATGGAATCAGTAATTTTTTTTCCCACTACTTGATGAAGTAAGAGCTCGTCTAAATCAATTGCATAGAAGCATATAAAAGTTCAATTTGTGCGATTAAGGGAAAACTATAGAAGATAACATTCACCTGACCGAGGAAAACTATCAAGTCCCTTTGTATGAAAATGATAAGTGGAATAGATGGTCTTTGGCCTAATTGCTTCAACGTCGACCAACAAAAAAATTGCTTCTTCATATACAACTTTCCAAAAAGCTCCATAAGTTTCTATGAAAATAATGAGTGGAACAACTCTCCCTTGATAGCACACTAGTTATCTAAAAAAAAAGTATATGTAGTTAGTCCAATTCTCTTCGGAATCAAGAATCGGAGTGCTCGGACACTAATTTCACTTTTAGGAACCAGAAACCGGACTGAGACTTTCGGGAACCGGACCAAATCGGCCGATCTGAGCAGTTCCTGATTCGGGCAATCTGTTTTGCACACCCCTAATATAAGTAGCTATTTCCACTAGTTGCGCGATCTTAAATTTGCCTTATGTTGCCTCCAATTCAAGGTTGTAGTGTACCCCCAAATCCGACGCGCCGTATAGTTTGGTGCGTGATTATGGTTCGTGGTCATTCCAGCGAAGTCTAACTGTGGTCGTTTGGTAGTCAGCGGCGGTGGCGTGGTGGCGGCCAATGTTGGTGCCTTCGGCCTACTCTTGGAGCCACGGCGGGGATTGGTGGTGCTACTTTTGGAGTGGTGGCGGTGATTGGTGGATTGCAATAGACAGTAGTGGCAATAGATAGAGGGGGATGCGGAAGACTCTTTCTGCTGATTGTCACCATATCAAACGTATGCTTAACAATATCAAAGTGGCACGTCAAAAGTTTTTGCTCTAGCACTTTCGTCCAACCCCGTGGACAATTATCGGGGACTTCTCGAGTTTCGCTAATAATTGATCATTTGTGCGGTCGTGGAGTTTTACTTACGTCTCCATTTGAACAAATAAATAATTATGATCAAAAAATTTCGTCAACTCATTTTAGGGACGGAATTGAGATCGGATATAAAAAAGTGAGTTTTTTTTAAGGGGTTAGGACAATTTTTAAAGGCAGTTTTATCCTTTCAGGGAATTAAAGGCAGTGTTTGTTTGCGGAAAAATATTTTTCCAAAAAACATTTTTCGCTTTTTCCGGAGTTCGGGGGCGTGGGAAAACATTTTCCTTCCCCACCCTCAAATCCTTCATTGTTTTGAGGAAAATGATTTCCTCTTTTCACAAAGAGGAAATCATTTTCCCCCAAAGTGAAGGCAAAATTGCCCATGGGAGGAAAAATGTTTTCCGTGGGAGAGGAAGTTGATCGCCGGTCACCGCCGTTGGCCGCCGCCATCGGCCGCCCGCCCGCGCCCGCCCGCCCGCCACGCTCGCCCGCTGACGCCGCCGCCCGCTCGCTCGCCGCTACCGCCGCGCCCGCCCTCCGCTACGGCCGCTGCGGGCCTGCGCCACCGGTTGCTGGCTGCTGCGTGTCAGCCGCTGCTGGCCGCTGGCCGGCTGGTTGCCGCTGGGCCGCCTCGCTGACGACCCGGCCGCCGACGAAAAATATTTTCCGAAACTTTTTCATATTGGTCGTCGAACACCGGAAAATTATGTTCTGGGAAAATATTTTTCAGAAAAATGACTTCCGAAAAAATATTTTTCAAAAGGAGAATATTTTTCGCCAAACGAACGGAGCCTAAAAGAAGGTTTCTTAAGTTTGTAGGGTGAAAACATCGTAATCAACGTCGCTCTCAGAGGCCACCAGGATTCCTGCACTTCGTGGACGAATTCTACAAAAAGAATGTCATTTTGAGTTAAGATTTTGTTTTAGGGAAAAAACCACCAAAAACCCCAAACTTTGCCATTTGTGACACATTTACCTCAAATTTAGTGACACCAAAACCTCGATTTGCTTTTTGTGACACATTTACTCCAATGTATTTAGTCCATGGGCATTTTCGTCTTTTTGCTTTTTCTTTTTTTTCCTTTCCGTGAGGGGCCTTGCCGGCGTCGGGCGAGTGGCCCATCGCCGGATCCGGCGAGGGGGCCTCGCCGGCGTCAAGCGAGGCGGCCTCGCCGCGTCGGCGAGGTTCGCCTCGCTTGGCGAGCGAGGGCGGCCCTCGCCCGACTTAGGCGAGGTCGACCCTCGCCGACGCCCGGGGTCGACCTCGCTCGAGCCGGGCGAGGGCCACCCCGCTAGCCCGAGCGAGGGCGACCCTCGCCGGCATCGACGAGTCCGCCTCGCCGGCATCGGCGAGGTCCGCCTCGCTCGGGCGAGCGAGGCGGCCTCGCCCGGATCCGGCGAGGCGGCCCTCGCCGCAGACTCGGCGAGGTCGACCCTCGCCCGACGCGGCGAGGGCCGCCCTAGCTCGCCCAGGCGAGGGCGAACCTCGCCCGATGCCGGCAAGGGCCCCCTCGCCGAAAAGGAAAAAAAAAAAAAGAAAAAGCAAAAAAGACGAAAATGCCCATGGACTAAATACATTGGGGTAAATGTGTCACAAAAAGCAAAGTTCGGGGTTTTTGGTGTCACAAAAAAAAGTTCGGGATAAATGTGTCACAGATGGCAAAATTTGGAATTTTTGGTGGTTTTTTCCCTTTGTTTTAACGTTGGTGTCCTTTTCGTGCTTTCTCGATGTGTACTCACATTACAAGACACCACCGCACGGAAAGGGTTAAAAAACACGATCATTTTCAAACTGTTTTTCTAGACCCTCGTCCGATAAAATTGCATTTCCAGGATGATTTTATCTGATAATTCTAAAGTTGACTGCATCTACTTATTAATTAATCACCAAAAGCCTATCAGGTTCCCATGGGCTATGGATGAACACGAGTACCCAACGCGCTAGAGACTCGCCGGACAAGGAATTCCCATTCGTAAGCCTCGATTCCTTGTTTCGTCTATGGGAATCTTACCGCTAAAAGCCTATTAAAATGCACCGATTTTAGTAACTTGCATCCACGAGTATCCAAGACGTTAGAGACTCGCGAGACCCAAAATTCTCATCTTAAGCTTCAATCTCTTGTTTTATCCATGGAAATCTTATCGCCAAAACCCATCAAAACGCACCAATTTTAGTAATTGGTCACAGGTAAAATAATAGCTTCTCGTCACGTCGTCGTGTGGTGGTTGATGATGCAAACTTTTCCTGCTTTATTATATAATTCGAGCTATATATTAATGGAATATATTAGAGCAATGATGGGACGAAGCAGTAGGTTGAATTCCATTCGGCCAAAAGAAATGGCTGTCTATGTCCGAGTAATCCCCCGTTTTTAAATCATAAACATTACATAAAATAATCATTATTAATTTCCGCAAAGAAAAAATTGGAAAGGTATTCAATCAACGGCGGAAAATTGATCATTGTTTAATCCAACGGCACGGAGGCTTCCCTTCTTTACCCTCGCACCCCTTCCCAGTAGTTTTTAATTTTGTTTATATTATTAGGGATAATGACACAGATAGTTCCTTGAATTTTGACCTAATGTATAGTGTGATTTTTGATTTTTGAATTTATTTAATATAATTCTTGAATTTTAGCTTAATATTCAATATGATAATTGAATTTTTAATTTATTTAATATGATCCATGATGTAGTCCTTGAACCACATTGAATATTTTCATATAGACACGTACCAAAAATTAGGGATGATAATGAACAAATTAAAAGTTCAGGGATCATATTTCATATTGAAATAAAGTTTATGGATCATATTAAATAAATAAAAAATTTATGGATTATATCATACATTGGGCCAAAGTCTAAGGACTGTTGATGCCATTTTCTGATATTATTATTATTATTATTATTATTATTATATCTATGGTTTTAAATCTCTGAAACTCGCAAGCAAAACTTGCGTTTCCGCGGAGCAGGAGAAACAGGTCCACCCAACTTTGAAAAAAGCTTCTCTGCTTCTTTTTTTCTCTGCTGGAAGAGGCGGCGATGCCTCCGTCAGTACGGTGACGCGGCGGGGTCAAGTAGCCGGCCGGACCTATCCGTCGTTGCGTCACCGGCGGGGAAAGCAACCGATCGAATCCGCACCATCGGCGGCTTCCCCCCACCCAATCCGGACCTCGACGCGTTCGGATGGGACGCGTCGGGGAGATCGAGGCGGAGGGCGGCGGGTGCGACGCCGCGGCGGCGGCGGATGACGACACAGTCTTCGTCGCGGTGGGCCGGAACGTCGAGGAGTGCAAGGCGACGCTGCGCTGGGCGGTGCGGAACTTCTCCGGGATGCGGATTTGCTTGCTTCACGTGCACCAGCCGATGAGTGAGTTTTGAGTTTTGCGTGATTTGTGCGATTGATTCGCGAGTGGCTTTGATCGTGATTCGCTCTTCCAGTTTTATGTACACTGGAAACTGAATCGATCGACCGCAAATTTCTTCCTGAATTTCCATTTCTCTGTAAGAGCAACAGCTTCCAATTCGTTCGTTTCGCTTGCACTTATGGCGTAGACTGAAATAGACTGAATTTGCTTGATTCTAGTAGTTTTTCGGTTGATCTCTTTTCTGTTTGGCAATGAGGTGTTCAGTTCGCAGAACTCGTCTTGATTCTTTCAGAGTGAGTCAACGAGTAGACAGCATTCGCCTTCAATATGTGTCTGAGAACTCGAGTTTTGCTTTCGTAACTCATTTGTATATTTGTAAATTATAGAGTCATGGCTCGGATTTGTCAGCATATTTTGTTTGGTTAATACTTGTACGGCATGTAAAGTCTGCCATCATTTTGGGTCCATTCACGACTTCAATCGACAACGCATTTGTTAATCTCATTTTCATAGGATTATAATCCCTCCTGTGTGCGATTTTTTCGAAATCATGTCCGCGTTGTTTTATGTGCAGAAAACACCGAGCTTGCCGCCAATAAACCAAAACAGTGTGCAGTTCACGATTTGCATGAAGTTGAGATGCAAAAAATGCCTGAAGTTCTTAATGAGTACCTCGTGTTTCTTGCGCAGGCAGGAGTGGTATGTCTTCTCATTCTTGCTGATTTGGTTGATCTAAATTTCTGATATTAATATAAGAAATTATGATTGTAGCTTGCTTCATAGTTATATGATTCAAATTCTACAAGTAGATCCAAACAAGAGGAGATCTCAAAGAAACTGAAGAAACTTCACGGTGCCAGAACTCATTATATTAAAAAAACTTTCATAAAGCGCTCGTGTTACGGACAGCTCATGATATTAAGTCACCCCAATTGTCTATAATCAAGAGAGTGGCCTGTTCATGCAGGTAGACTCGGATAAAGTTTGGATCGAGACGGACAGCATTGAGAAGGGAATCCTAGAAAGTATTTCTCAATACAATATTAGATGGCTTGTGATGGGAGCAGCGGCTGATAAAGACAATTCCAAGTAAGCCTTTTTATGTCATTTATTCGTGCCATTGGTGCTGTTAAGTAGGGATGTTTTAGTTACATAGTTACAGTTATATACTTAATCCGTATCACTTTACAAATTTTGTAATTACAGAAGTCTTTATCTATCTCAAGAGGTTCTTCATGCTGGTAGAAAGCTTTTACTATTGTGGTTGAGTCTTGATGCTGCTATTCTCTAAATAATCCTTCAACAGTGACTTCTATGATTGTCAATTTTTCTGGAGCTTGAAAATTAAAAAAGGGAGGTTCATTATAGTGTGAAGAGTGGTAAAGTTAACTTTCTCTGGCTATTAGAATTCTTTTTTATTCGTCGATATCGTTTCCAACATTGTCTCCTCAGATATATTTTGGTTGACGGCTGGTCAAGTGTAGAGAGTTACTTATGTTTCTTTAAGCTGAAGAAAGCTTAAGAGTTACTTATGGATGCCTAACAAAGGAACATCACTTAAAGTCATTGCCACGTATAACTCCAGTAAATGGAAAAGAGCAACATCATTATTGACTATATAGTTGTCTACTTATCGACATTCTCCTAGCAATACGTGCTACTTACAAAACAAATTCTTACACGAGTATTGATGGGTTCTTATTTCTAGCATGTAATTAATTTAAGTATGTAAAATTTGCTGAAAGTGCAGAAATTTGACCAGGTTGGACTCCAGAAAAGCTGTATTTGTTTGCCAGAATGCACCGGATTTCTCTCAGATTTGGTTCATTTGCAATGGTTGCCTCATATACACAAAGTAAGTTGGTCATCATGGCACCGAAGAATGTTACATGTACGAAAGCTTATAAATTCTGCAGTATCTGGTGCAGCGCTTAATTCTTTTGAAAGTGATAATTGGGTCACTGCTTTTTCTGAAATTGGTTGTTGTTCTCTATTTATATCTGAATGTTTCTTGTATACTTTACCATTAGAACTCCATCCATTGTACTTTTTCACTGCATCTGACTTCAGACATCGGCACCAGGCAGCCAGAATGCTTGAAATCAGAACGTCCAACTTTTAAGCAAAAATCTCTTGATCGGCTCATGAATCCAGAATGCAGGATCATTCAGCGATCAAGATATGGGGAGTTCAGCATTGAACAATTGGTTAGGAGTTCTAGCAGATTGAAATTGTCTGACGGGTACATTGATAAGAGCGAAGATGACAGAGGACCACCGCTGAGAAGGCTCAGGTCACAGTGTTTAGAACATCCAGCTAGCACATCAAAATCGTCTTTGCTTGGATGTGAGGTGAGATCATTCAAAACAGTTGCCTTACATATCTACCTCGTAAGAGATCCATTCAGGATGATCTTTGTCATGTCTCGTCTTTTCCACTAGCATGTACGTGCTGTCTAGATGGACCACTATGTTCCTTCCCAAACTCATATTAAGAATTGAATCAGCAGAGACTGCAGAATGTGATAATACACTTTCTTGGTTGTCTTAACATGATGTTTTTACATGCAAAGAATTTGAATCTCGTGACATCTGGCAAATAGTGATTTATTATAAACCTACTATTTTTGGCAATTAATGTTCGTCTCCGCTTGTATGGGGATCTTTCCATAAACTATGCAATTAGAGTTTCTTGGGAAAATTATATTATGTTTGTAGATCATAACATACTTGTCGATTTCTCAGAACAAGAAAATTCAAGGGCAACCTGCTGGAGACCTCTATTTTAGATTGGAACAGGCAATCATGGATGGTAAGAGTTCCAGGCGACAAGAGTTTGAGGAGGCAGTGAGGCGATGGAAGGAGGAAGACAATGCACTGGATGCTAAAATGAAGGCAATCTCTCTCTCTCTCTCTCTCTCTCTCTCTCTGCATCCGGTAATTTTCCCTTTTAATTTGTTCAAGATTTGCCGATGGTTTTAAGCTCTTGCACCTATATGTCTGTTAAAGAAGATAAATGACGAATTCGGCTTGCTTAGCTCGCAGCTTTGTTTTGCTTGATACATTTTACCATCAGCTACCAGCGTACTAAACAGTCGAGCAAAAGTTAACCTTCTGGATACCTTGAAGGTATTAGCCTACTTAAAGATCTAGGACTTTGTTGATTAATTCTGCATCACATCGCATCCCAATGCAGGCCCGATCAGTGGAAATTTTATATAATAAGGAGGTGAATGTAAGAGCAGAGTTGGAGAAAATGCTGGGAAGCAAAAGACAAGAATCGGATATGGTGAAAAACCAGTACCATGAGACAACAAGAGAACTCCTAACAGTTCAGGAACAGAACTCAATACTTGAGAAACAAGTTCAAGAATCCAAGTTAGTGGTGAAGGAGCTGGAGGAGAAGATCGTATCAGCTGTAGAACTCTTGATCACTTTCAAGGAGAGACGAGACAAACTACGTGTAGAGCATCAAGATGCCCTGAAGCATGTACGAGATCTGAGGAGATCAGTACTAGTTGGAACTTCAAGCTTGTGTGGCCCACAGATCCTCTCCTTTTCTTTTGCTGAGATCATTGAGGCAACACACAATTTTGACCCATCTCAAAGGATTGGGGAAGGAAAATATGGAACTGTTTATAAAGGCCTACTTCGACATTTACATGTCGCCATAAGGATGCTGCCCTCTTTTGGTTCTCCAGGAACAGTGGATTTCGAACATGGGGTAAATTGATTGCATCAACAACTATTTTTGTTTTCCTTTTGAGAAAAAACGATCATTTAAACCATCTAATGAGACTTTAAATGTAGTCACCCTAAGATTTTGCGCTAGCACTGATTTTACATTATGCTTCTTGATTCAACTGCAGGTAGAGGTGTTAAGTAGGGTGAGGCATCCAAATTTGGTCACACTTATCGGAACTTGTCCAGAATCTCAGTCACTTGTATATGAGTACCTAAAAGCAGGCAGCCTCGAAGAGCGCCTTTCACGCAAAGGCAAAACTGCCCCACTTCCATGGAATATTCGAACCCAAATTGCCACTGATATTTGCTCTGTTCTTGTCTACCTTCACTCCCATAAGCCTCCAATTATTCATGGGAATTTAAAACCCTCCAAAGTCCTCCTCAATGCCAATTTTGTGGCCAAAGTTGGCGACCTTGGCATCTATTGCTTAGTTCCCAAGTATGAAAATTCTAAGATCACTAAATCAGATGCTGAGAGTGATTCTGAGGTCAATTCACCTTACGAGGATCCAGAATTTTTAGTGAGCGGACAGCTTACTCCTGAATCAGATGTGTATTCTTTTGGAATCATCTTGTTACAGCTTGTAACTGGAAGATCAGCTTTAAGTATTGTGAAAGATGTGAAATGTGCACTAGACAACGGAAATTTCGATAAAGTAGTCGATTTTTCAGCTGGGGACTGGCCACTCGATCAAGCCAAATGGTTGGCCGAATTGGGCTTAAGGTGCTGTGAACAGAACAAGCTGGACCGCCCAGACCTTGTATCGGAAATTTCCAGCGTGATTGAGTCAATAAGGGCTTTGTCTATTGAATCAGCATCAACTTCTCGTTCGAAGGAGCCTGGCAAAACACCCTCTCATTTTGTCTGTCCCATTTTACAGGTAAATGATTCAGCACGCTCTTGTTCCATTTGCATTCAGTGTACACCGTATGGTGACTCATCTAGGCGGAGAAGCTAGAATTTTCAATTTGCAAAGGGTGAGAGAAACACAGAAGTCCAACTTCTCTCTATCTGGTCATGAGACCTAATTTGCCATGTTGTAGGGTGTAGTAATTGGGGCATTCATGAGTTTAATCAGTGGAATAAAGTGGCATCTGCGTTAAACATCAGTACATATCTTTGTGAATTTCTGAGTAACGGGTTCTCCATGAGTTTTCAGGAAGTCATGAAAGATCCACTTATAGCGGCTGATGGATTTACATACGAAGCAGAAGCAATACAGGGATGGTTGCACAGCGGTCATAACACTTCACCGATGACCAATCTTGAGTTGGAGCACAACAACTTAGTCCGGAACCACGCCCTACTCTATGCTATTCAAGAATGGCAAGAGCTACTGTAAAATCTTTCCTCCTTCATGTACATCGACCTATCTGACCAAAATCTTCTCATTCGATCCCTCGGGCCTCGATGCGAATTAGTTATACTGATTTCCCTAAATATCTTGTTGTACAGAGCAAAGAATTCTTTTACTTCCACCAATGGGATAGTTATCATCCATCAGTTGTCAAGTTCTCCTCACTGGGAATTGCTGTCATTTACACGTTGTACTCGTGGACTGTGGCTACAATTTTTAGGACAGCTAATTTCGAACTTCATATTCAATTCTTAGTGCAATCAAAGAGCCAGTAGAGGCATTTAACACAAACGGATTGTTGAAGGATGTCTCTGTTAACTACAGCATCTTATTTGTGTCGGCCGAAGAAGAGACGAGCAAAGATATGGATGAGGAGTGATAACTGCAGCCATTCTTTGAACTCTGTTATTTCCCTTTTCAGTCTAAAGTCTGCAATAGAAGCTCATGTTTTCTAGAAAAGAATAGCAAAATGAATTCCCTCTCAGCGGCAATGTTCTTCCAAATACGTCTCCCGAACATTATCGCGTGTTTTCCTCTCTTTTTCTCGTACCTAATTATAGCTGAATAATAAGCACGCGAGATATATACCTGGAAGCGTTAATGACAATGGTTAGACAAAAGCATCATCATCCCCGTAACAAACATTAGGCACGTGCATTTTGATGATACATTAGGCTCTTTTAATATGCAGCGCCGATTTGGAATGCACTGGGATGGAGAGGGGAAGGCGACCACTTTTTCTAACCTAGCTTAATGTAATCCTCATCCTCATGCAATACCATTTCCCAAGATGGGATGCCCTTTTCATTTCCGTCTTAAAATCGTATAGAAACAAGCAACATATTCTGTGCTTACGAGCCAAGTATCGTATTCATGAGACAAAGTGGAATTTTCATCTCTATGCAGTGTGGACGAAAGGAGTTCCGATTAAGTTAATTTCCGATAAAATTCAGCATCGATAATTTCTAAATGGAGGGAATTCTATTAGGATTCTTTCGGATCGTTATCTCATTAATTGATTTTCCTTTTTTTTCTGAACGGATAATGGCACCGATATCATCTATTTATGCAAGATCGAGTGTTGGATCGTAAGGCGATGCATTAACCAGCTATTAACGGGTTAAAAAAGAATTAGCCAAAAATGCGAAAATCACCTTAGAATTATCAATTATGTACTAATTTCGGACAAGAGGAAAAATCACTCCCTTTTTTCTCTCTCTTCAAAACAAATTCTCAGACAACTTATCGAGCGGGAGTCAGCGTTGACCACGTGACCGCAGCGAGCATTCGGGCGGGACTCCACGTCAGCACGGGGGGGGAGAGCGCTCAGCGCTCAGCACGAACGAAACGTGACCATCCGTCGCCCTCACCAAATTCACACCGCGCGTGGCCTTGACTCCACGCGTCGAAGCGCGCGTGGGTAGCCGAACCTTGCCAAGTCAGAATCAACGAAATATCGCAATTTTTTCATTTTTATTTGCTCAAAGTATTTTTTCCAATTTTTTTTTCCTTTGCCGAAGAGGGTTCCGGTCAGTCACCTTTATATTCCCCTCGTACGAAAATGTTTTCCCCTACCCCCCCCCTCAAAAACGCCTCACTCGCTCGCGCTCCGCCGATCGCTCCCTCTCGCTTTCCGGCGATTTTCTCGCGCTCCGGGCACTCCCTCCCCAATCTCGTCCCTCCGGCGAGCGCCGGCCCGCGTCGATCTCCGTCGCCTCCCCCCCACCGCTCAGTGATCTCCCCTCCCCGCGTACGGACTGGTGAGTGAACTGATCTCCCCCCCCCCCCTGCTCTACGTGAATCGCTTTTTCATACGTGCTCCGATCTGTCTGTTTCCGTTTCGCGTTATATATCTGGGGTAGATCGCGCGCTTAGATAGTCCGTCTTACCTCGCTCTCCGGCAATCTGGTTCGACGATTTTCGATCAATTTTTCTGTGCCCTCCGCGGCGGCCGGTGAGGAGAACGAAAGGAGGAGGATATGTAGGGGGAGGAATCAGAGAATCTCCAGATTTTTTGCGATTTGATAGGCTTTGCCGTGCGCAGAGGTTATTGAATCGTGGCTGGTTCGTTATTACGTTGCTTAATGTAGATATGACTGTGTGTTTCTTTTTTAATTTAAATCCTAGACTCTGTGTAATAGCAAGCAGATGTGATGCTCGCGAAGGTTTCGTGCGCTCATCATTTTCTTTGAAGCTGCTGGGTTGGTTGAAGATCGATGCTCAAGTTATTTTAGGTTAAGACTGGGTGATTTTAAATTTGCCTTTGGAAGTATATAAGTTGTCATTCTCGCAGATATGGTATTGTGCCGATTGTTCTTGGAGATTTGTTGGCCATATCTTAGTTTCTCACGATGTGGGAGGGACTTAATTTTGTTTGCCGGACATACCCTGTTATTTTCGTGTGACTTCATCATGTTGGTTGTGAAGGCGATGGCTCTTAAGTTTTTGGGCCTTTTCCTTTTACAAATTTTTTTCCGTCAAGCTGCTTGTTTAATTATATCCGAGGTATTAGTTCTCCCAGTGTGAGTTTGTAAATAGCAGCGAACTTGCGGGTCAGTGACAATGTGATAGAAATATTCGTGATGTAGGTTGAGAAGTTTGGTGGTAATTGGATTCATTTCCATTTGGTTAGTTGGAAATTCATAAGTGAATGATGCACCATTTAGTACATGGTGCATTCATGAAGATTTGACGTTGTAAAGAATGGCAGCCTGTCTTATATTGCATAGGATTTCCTGGGAAATACGACTTCTTCTCCTCAAAAGTGTTACGGAATTGACATGCATCAGTCAATGCGATAGACATAGAATTTGATATGGTGAGAGTGTATGAAAGAAATTTTGTTTCCTAGCTAGTGTGGTTTACTGCTTAATGCTCTTAGGTCAAACAGAAGCATTGTTGGCTACATTTATCTTTGGGCTCCCCATCTAAGTGGAGATGTATAACTGGCGATTATTTTTGTGCGATTGAGTACATTGTGTTCATCTGATTTTCTTTATGTCTTATTCACAGTGAAATCATCATCAGGCTCAGTGTGTATTAATGTCAGTTGCAAAAATCAAAACGTCTAATGCTCTTGATGGGATGAAAGTGGAGGACGGAAATGATTCTTTAAACACATTCATCAGACAAGCTATAGGAAAAGAACCTCTTCTGTCCCTGCCAAGGTCCGCAGATAGCTCAGTTCAGTGGATCCAGCTACTTCATGCTTTAGATCATCAAGGTATCATCTGTGTTGGTTGTAATTAAAGATTAATTGTCATCAAAGTTGGCTCTATTGAGTTATACTTTGTGTATATGTTTCCTGTTAATTTGTTCAGGGCCTTGTTCCGCCTATCAAGAGACTATTTAAAATGGGTTAGTTGTTGCTCTAAGTATAACTACAATTTCTTTCCTCCTCCCTATGTCACTTAGCTTTTCTCCCTCACAGAATGACCATTTGAATCAGAGAGAGAGAGAGAGAGAGAGAGAGAGAGAGAGAGAGAGAGAGAGAGAGAGAGAGAGAGTCTTTAGTAGTTACTCTTGCTGCTTGTGAGGACATGTCCAAGGGTAGTGGTCAAAGGAAAAACTGCATCAGTAATCTAGAGTGGAGATTGAAACGGAGATGTTGTATTCTTTGCCCTCTCCAGGGGTTGAAGTTCACTGTACAAATTGAATATTTTTCTGTCCATTGGTTTCAGATTTGCCTGGTTGGCCACTGCTCTCTCCTTTGAAGATTCCTATGCAGAAGTGTGATAAGTGCAATCGAGAATTCTTTTCATCCATTAACTACAGAAGGCACATACGTGTGCATCATCGGCTGAGAAAGCTCGATAAGGTTGAGTTTTTTTTTTTTTTATAACATCTGATATGGTTGAGTTACTGATGCAGATTCTATTGCTATAGTGTTAACAGCTTCAGGAAATTGTCATTTTGTAAATGCTACATGCTGCATTTGCTTTTGTGCTTAATCGCTGTTTTCCTTGCTTAACCTCTGGCTTTACAATGGTGTTTGTTTTCCATCTTGTAGGATAGCTCCAAAAATAGAGATTTACTAGGACCTTTCTGGGATAAGGTAACATCTTATTTACTTTTTTTTTTCTTGCGGTGCTTAAGTTGTGTGATGGAGTAGCTTTCTTGTTTTCTCCAGCTCATTTGGTATTCTTACTGCAGCTATCTGCGGATGAAGCAAAGGAAATAGTATCCCTGAAAAATTCTACCATGGAGGTAAAGCTATAAATTAGCAGCATCTTTTCTGTCAATTAAATTTAGGAGGATGATCAATTGAATTTGTTAGTACTGTGATCATAGAGTTGCATAGAGCATATTTTTGATAATATCAATGAAGCCATCCTCAGGTAGATAAACTTTGAGCCCATGAAATACCTCATTAACCTCATGAAATGAGTAAGATGCGAGCCAAACTCAGGTGAGTTTCCAAATAGGGATTGTTTGCACTTGATGCTGTTGAAATCGAACTTGTAGCGTGTGTCTAATCCACTTATTCATATGCCAAACTGAAACCACTAATGGAGCGCTGTTCACTTAGCATAGTTTTATTACACCAAAACCACTAAATCTCCTTTATCTGTGCTAAAACTCCAATGAAATTTGAATGCATACATTAAAGGTCCTCTTTTTTTTCTTACGTCATTGTTTTTCCTCCTCTTTCTTTATTTTGTTGTTGCTGAGGAGTTACCATTTGTGGCACGATGTGCAACATCTACTAAGCCTTCCTTTCCACTTTCATTTCTCTTTTGCTTGTAATCTTCCTTTTGACGCAAGTTCTGGCGAATATTTTAGGATGTTCCTGGGGCTACAGTTATAAAATCTTTGGCATCACTGATACGGAAGCCTGGATTTCCTGTAATGCCGCAATTTTGCCTAAAAGCTGGTTCATCTCTTTTGGTGAGGAAAATCTTTGTTATTTTTGGCCCCTGACCTGTATCCTGTGTGATATCGATCTTGTCATGTAATAGTTTTCTATCTAAGAAGTAATACTCTTGCAGGACATTGTCCAGGCTAGGCCTTCGAGATTTCCTCTATCTTCACAAGAGCTGTTTGCCATCCTTGACGATGCAAGTGAAAAAACCTTTTTAAGTGGACCGACCTTATTGATGCAAAGATACATTTTCGATAAGGAAGTTGGAAAGATTGGTCTGGAAACAAAGAACTTGGTTGCATT